GAATATGGGCAAAGGAGGGTAATTAGTTGAGGTGTAGATCAACCATGATCTGAAAGAATGGCAGAACAGGATCGAGGAGCTGAATGGCCTACACCTGTTCCTATGTTCTTATCTGGAGGAGAGAGTTTAACAGAAGCACTCAGAGCCTGCGGTTGACTGGATCAGCATGAGGTTTATGTGGGATTAACACTCCTCCAACCAGAGCTTCTGAGGAGGCCCAGTGAAGGTTCCTCCACAGCCCTGGGAGAGGGCAACTTTTCTCCCCAATGTCTCTGACAATTCCCCGGTAGCCACAGCAGCTCAGCACTGGTTTGTCATCATTTTGCTCCAAGTTCTGGTTCCTGGAAGTCAAAGCGAATGATTACTGCAACTTCCAGAACATAGTTCTATTCATTCCCTCCCGGGCGGGGAGAGGAGACTGGGTGTGTTGTCAGAGAGAAGCCAGCAACATCGCTGCCCAACTGGCGAGCGAGAGGAGAGAAAGTGGGAGGTTTTGTTAGGATATTTCTCAGATTTAAAAATACTTCAATTAACTTCTACTCCACATGACGATCTACAGCTGCCTGTTCCAGGTAAATGGACCTTTGTTGTTCCCCAAGGCTTCGTTGTCAACACAATTCCCTTCTCTTTTCCAACGGTGCCACACGATAAGATTGATCAATAAAAATTCCCTCTTTCAACACAGCACCTACAACAAAATAACGTCTCAAAGTGCTTCGGAGGGCATGGGTGTCCAGTTCAGTGGCTGTTTACAGGCAAATGCAACAGCCAATTCTGAATTGCCAATGTCGCACACACAGCCATGATCAATTTATCTGGAGGATTGTTGCCAGGACACTGGGAGAGAGAAACTCCCTTTTCTTTTGTAATACCACCGTGGGATCTTTATCATCCACCTGAATAGGGCACAGAGAGGGCCTTGGTTTAAAGCCTCCTCACGGGAACATCAGCCTGGAATATAATAATAATCCTTGCATTTGATACAGCACCTTATCAAGACTTCACAGAATATACTGTAAAGTGAATTGACTATATTTTTTTGCATACGAGAGATCTGACGGTAGATTCGTTTTCTTCAAAGGTAAAAGTCAGATTGTTCCTGATCCCGGGAATAGATACAAACAATCCCTGCAGTCGGCGGTTTTCATCCACAACGTAACATCCAGAAAATGTAATAATATAATATATTCATAATATAATATTGTCAATGGGAACAAACTCTCTTTTTCAGCTCCCTACACGTGACTCGGTGATGTGTGGCTGTGTGCATGCGTCTGGGTGTGTGTGTGTGTGTGTGCGCGCCTGTGTGTGTACAGTATAGTGTACCTGCCCTGTGTACAGTACAGAATGTACAATAGACTGACTGGGACGCTGGTAGGATAACAGAATGTGGCTGTGATGGAAGTTTTGAGATCTCACTGGAGGGGAGAAGGTTAAGAGGGAATAGAGTAGCAATGTTGAACTTGATGAAAGGTTTTGAGAGGATGAATGGTGAGAGATTATTGCCGGTATCTCGTGACTCACCAACAAGAGCCCTGAGCTTTATGGGCAGATTAGAAGAATTTTATTTTTAACACAAAAGTTTCTGAGGGCCTAGAGTCCATCACCCCCAGGGCTGGTGAAACCCAGCAATCTGTCCATTAACAAGGCCATTAGTTACACTTGAAATGTGATGGTGATGATGTTTGCGGAGGGAGGAGCTGGGGAATAGGATTAGAGTAAATCGCTCCGGGGAGGAGAGCAGGCACCGGCGAAAGGTGTGGTCACCGGTTAATGTGGTCAATAATATACCTGCTAACATTTGTGGAGATTCCTGAGTCCACTTGCTAGTTCCTGGGGTTTGTTATAGCATTAGTTCCTCACTGAGTGCGGCTGTCCCAGGCGGGGTGGTGAGGGCGGGGTGGTGAGGGCGGGGTGGTCCGGGCGGTGTGGTCCGGGCTGGGATTGTCTGGGCTGGAGTCCGGAGCCTGTGCCACACCGAGTGGATGAGCTGGTGTCTTAGCCAAAGGGTCCACGCTGACAGTGATGGGAAGTGAAGAGCCAGTGTCTGGGAGCTGTGTGATTGCACTGCTCTACCTCCCTCTCTCGCTCACAGATGCACACTCAGGGTTACTGTGACATGTGACAAGCCCCCAGGTTAACTAATCACTGAGTTATGGCACGCCAGCCCCGAGCTTCCTGCAAAGCCATCACCAGACACATCGCCCTCGTCACAAACACTCCACAAAACAGCAGGAGTGGGTAAGATAGGGCCTGAGGGGAGAGCACTGCAGACTATCACTAACCGCCCACGTCACCAGGATTAATCCATAAATAACACAAGATTCAGGTAAAGAATCCCCTTTGGCTCAATTGATCAAGCGCGCGTGTGTATTGGGGTTTGTGTGTGTGAGTATGTGTGTATTGGTGTGTGTCTGTGTGAGAGTGAGTATCTGTGTGTGTTGGTGAGTATCTGTGTGTTTGTGTTTTGCTGACACTGCCGTGTGTTCTCTCTGTGTGTGTGCCAGGTGACAGGTACTGGGTGTTTAAGGAGGTGACGGTGGAGCCGGGGTATCCACATGGGATGGTGGACCTGGGGCGAGGGCTGCCACGGGACGGTATTGACGCTGCCCTGCGCTGGGAGCCCGTCGGCAAAACCTACTTCTTCAAAGGAAACAAGTAAAGTGACCTCCTCCGCTCATGCCTCCCCCTCCTCCCCACCCCCTTGAGACCACCCAGCAATCCCATCCCCTGCCTCCGGGACCACCCATCCGCGGTTCCATCAGTGACATACTGTAGCTCAGTGGTTGGAGCACTCACCTTGCAAACGAGAGGACCCAGGTTCGATTCTCGGGCCGGGCTAAACATTGAGCAAGTTTCCTCACTCCACACGCCTGTTTACCAGCAGTAACTAGGAACTTGGTTGTTAGTCGATTGGTGGATCACTTTCCGGGGGCAATAATCCTTCCNAAAAAAATCACAATCTACAACTGTTTGTGGGGACGTCGCTGTGCGCAATTGGTTGCTGCGTTTTGCCCACAAAATACACAGTCACTCCACTTTATAGCATATCCTATGAAGCGCTTTGAGGCGTCTCAGCAACGTGATAAGGTACTACATCAAATATACGTATTATTATCACTGTCAGGTACTGGAGGTACAATGAGGAGAAGCAAGCGTCAGATCCTGGTTACCCCAAACCCATCACCATCTGGAAGGGAATCCCTGAGGCCCCCCAGGGCGCCTTCGTAAGCAAGGAAGGAAGTAAGTGGCTCGTGGCGGGGGTTGGGGGTCGTGTGCAGAGCGAGGGAACAGCGCTTAACAGTGGCGGAGCCTGACACTGAGCTGGAGGGAGGGAGGGAGGGACCATAAGCACAATCATAGAGGAAGATCTTCAGTCGTGATCTAAAAGAGGAGAAGGAGGGGGCAAGGCAGAGCAATTGAGGGAGATACTTCTAAAGCTTCGGGGCATAGTGCCTAAAGTATGGCCGCGGATGGCTGGAGTGGATTGGATGAGGGACAAGCAGGAGGCCGGAGCCAGCCGAGTGGAGGTAGCAATGGTTAGTGCAGTGGGAGTAAGCAGGTTGGTTGTGAGTTGCTTTCCTCCTATCTCTGTCTGTGTCTCTGTCTCTCAGCGTACACCTATTTCTACAAAGGGAAGCAGTACTGGAAGTTTGACAACCAGAAGCTGAAGGTGGAGCCAGGTTACCCGCGTTCCATCCTGAAGGACTGGATGGGCTGTCACCACAAGGACGTGGACAGGAGTAAAGATCGTCGCCGGCCCAACGACGATGTGGATATCATGGTGCAGATCAATGACGTGCCGAGCACCGTCAACGCCATCGCCGTGGTCATCCCCTGCATCCTGTCTCTCTGTATCCTGGTCCTTGTCTACACCATCTTCCAGTTCAAGCAGAAAAGCACTGACCAGAGCCTGGTGTACTGCAAGCGCTCGGTGCAGGAGTGGGTATGACACCTGCGGCCTACCGGAGAGAGAGAGCGAGCCAGCCAGCCAGCGAACAAACGAACAAACATGAGAGAAGAGAGAGACACAGACACCGAGAGAAAGAAAAGAGTGAAACAAAGAACAATGTTTTAAAAAAACAAAGAACCAATTTTTTCATTGATTCACACGAGGGCTATTCGTGAACGAGGCAGAGAATGTAACTCAAACCCGGGCCTGGTTTACTTAGCGAGGACCCAGGAGCACTGAAATGGTGGGCAATTCACAGCGTCTCTGCTTACTGGATGAGAAGCAGGGTATGGAACAAAGGACCATCAATGCAGTGCACATCTCACACTTTTACTCTGCTCATTCATCCATCTTTTGGGTGTGCCATTCTGTCCAGGTGATGTGGAGGCTGTGGAGATACCTGCCTGGGTTGATTGGTTGGTTGGTTGGACCTTCTCACCTGAAGGAGGGGGCGAGCTGTGGGGGAGGTGGGAGTGGGGTGTGGTGGGGGGGCAAAGAGAACAACAATGATGTGGGAATGGAAACATCTCCCAGACTCGTCCTTACTATAACAGCAGCAGCCCCTGAGCTGGCTGATCGCTCTTCTCTTATGCTGGAGGAATCCTGTGACAGACACACTCTTTTTAAAACTACGGGATTTGGGTTAAGAAGAAACTGTTGATTGAGGGGAAAAAAAGAGAGAGAGACATCGGGGTCAGCGTGATGGAAAAGAACAAGTCACTGCTGGGACCTTGATCGCGTCTCCGCGGTTAATGAGGAGATGGATTTATTACACCTTCAAGCGAACTGTAGGGAAACAGGATTACTGAATCCACAGGAGTTTCAAAATGTTCTTTTTCAATGTATTTTGAAATAAGTGGGGGCCAAAATATCTACTACAACTATTTAAACAGCCTTAAAAAAAAATTCCCCACCCCCCCCCCTTTTTTGTTTGTTTGTTAGCCGTTGGGTCAGGTTCTCTTGAATGTCAACATTTAAACAAGTCTTTTTTTCTGTACGTTTTGCTTCCCCCCCCCCACCCCCAGCATGCTAAGGTGTGGGGAGAGGGGGCAGTGTTGGCATTTCCTATCAAGTGCAATGCTGAATCCTTCCCCCTCACCCCCACCACCCCCGCCCTCCCATCCAACACCGCCCCACCCCACACCCAATGCAACCCAAAAAAAACCCTCACCCTGTGTCATCATGTCTTTGAGGCCTGAACAACACGGTTCACCATTTCACAGTGCGTCAGAGGGAGCAAAGCAGTGCAAGACTTCATTACTCTGCAGATAATAGTGTTTATAAGCAATCCAGGAATTATTTCTCAACTTCATCACAGTATTATTATTTCTGCTTGTGATCAGACTGATCTCTGTTCACGTTTGACTGGATTGACTACATGACTGTCATGGGGATGTAACCAAAGGCTGCTGGGGAATGGGGGGAGGGGGGGAGGTTATATAGAGGGTCTCGGCCTTGTTTTGCCAGCCTGGGGTCTGGGAGTCACTGTCGCTTTTTGGCTGGTTTCCCGTTGACTCCGCTGAACAGAGGAGGGTGACGAGGAGAGCAATCCCGAGCGAGTGTGGTGACACTCTCACCAGACTGGCATCTCACGGCTCCCAAGAAATTATAATAATAAACCTTGCATTTGATATAGCGCCTTATCAAAGATGTCCCAAAGCACTTCACAGGATATACTGTAAAGTGGAGTGACTCTGTATTTTGTGGGTGAAACGCGGCAGCCAATTGCACACAGCAGTGTCCCACAAACGGCCATGGAAACTGATTTAATCATTAATATTATTCTGTGTTTGGCAAGGAGTGGAATGATGTTAAGTGGTGAGACCACACTGTTCTGGATTACATGCTTTGAATCTTGGCCTTGTTTACCCCTATCCCCCCCCCCACCACCCCCACAACTGCAAACAACTCATTTTAACTGTATATTACAAAGTTTTAACTGTACATAATGAATTTTAGCTGCGGTTTGTTTGCTTTGGGGGTGGGGATGGGGGTGGGGTTAGGCCGGGGTGGGGGGGGTATGGTTTGGGGAAGGAGTTAGTGACCTCACAGCCATTATTAAATAAAATGTAAGTGACCAGTCTTGGCCTGGCCTACCTCGGTACTCATGCTGTTTAAAATAGCTGCCAATGAGCTGTCATTATAGGGATTTGATTGTGGTTGACCGCTTTAATCAGTGAGGTGGCAATTCATGGCCGTCGCGGGCACACGGGTCTGACGCCAGGCAGCCATGCTCGAGCCTCGCTCAATGGCTCACATACCTCGGTTCTAGTGCGGGACAAAGCCTTTGTACCTGTTCCGGTTGTTTGGAGTGCTTTGTCACAGAGCTGGCCAGCCTTGTGGACCTGCCGGGGTAGGACATTGGTGTGTTACGGTCACTCACTCAGTCTGTCGTGCCGAGCATGACAACTGCGAATCTTCATCAACAAAGCAACGAGTCAGATGGTGGCACGGTTCATGGGACGGACAATGTTGATGAGACGGTGGGCGAAGAGTTGAAAGTAGATGGTAAATGTTCAATGGAAAGTGTTAATTCTGGTAAAAATTTACATAAAATAATTGAACAAAATATATTGCTACCACAGCATTGTCGATGTGAAGCCTCACTGGGGGCAGTGGGGTGGTGGAATGGGGAGTTTTGCAACACAGAGAGGCAGGGGTCAGTTTTCCCTGAAAGCTAAAGAGTGGCCACTAACACACTCACTGACGTCACCAAAGGTGCTGCCATGCCTTTAAAGACAGAGAGAGAGGTAGAGGGAGGGGGCAAGAGAGTGGGTGACAGAGAGGGGTATAGGCGGAGGGGTGAGGGCAGCGTCCAGGAGAAACTCCCTTCTCTTTGTCCAATTGCACTGTGGGATCTTTAACATCCTCCTGAACAGGCACAAGACAGGACCTCGGTTTAACGTCTCCTCCGATGGACGGGGTCTCTGACAATGCAGTTCTTCACCCAGCACTACCTGCACCATGAGTGATTAAATTCAGAGATGGATAGGCGGTAGGAATCTTACGGGTAATGAGATGAGTGGTTTGATTTGATGGATGGGTGTCTCCTGCCTGATGTTGGCTCCAGTTCAGGATACAGTGAGAAGCTGTGAGGAAGCTCGGCACAGTCTCTCAGTGTCGGGATTTCACCAGGTAAGAAATGTGACTCGGACACGCGAGACATCAAACAATCTGTGACATTTACTGTTCCCTGGGCAACCCTCTTCACCTTCCCCCACCCCCTCCTCACCTTCCCCCACCCCCTCCTCACCTTCCCCCACCCCCTCCTCACCTTCCCCCACCCCCTCTTCACCTTCCCCCCACCCCCTCCTCACCTTCCCCCACCCCCCTCCTCACCTTCCCCCACCCCCTCTTCACCTTCCCCCACCCCCTCCTCACCGTCCCCCACCCCCTCCTCACCTTCCCCCACCCCCTCCTCACCTTCCCCCACCCCCTCTTCACCTTCCCTCACCCCCTCCTCACCTTCCCCCACCCCCTCCTCACCTTCCCCATTCACACCTTCCCCCTCTGCACCCTCCCTTCCCCCTCTGCACCCTCCCCTCCCCCTCCACACCCTACCCTTCCCCTACCCTCCCACTCCGCACCCTCACCTCCTCAATCAAAACACATCAGGCGCAGATAGGCTCCTTCACTTTATTTGGAAACTTACATTTAACATGGGAGGGTGCAGAGGACGATAATTTCCCCCACCCCAGGCTCAGAAACACCTGAACCCTACGTAGTGCCAGGTGGACTGGGGGGAGGGGAGGTCGGTGAGACTAAATGAGGGTTGGAGGGTTCTCTTGCGTCTTCTGAACAGAAGTGATTTCCTGGGCTCCACGTAGCCGTGCCGCCCCCCCGCCCTGTGCCTTTAGTACCAATTGGTGCACGCGATCATGAAGCGCATGTCGTCCACCATCTTGCCGCCGATGTGTGTCTGGGGGATGTCACCCGGGTTGTGGTGGTCCGCCTCTGGCCTGGGCACGGCCTCTCGTGGGGTCTGCGGGGGTCGCTGCTCCTGCCCAGCCACCCCATGCCCCAGGCCCACCAACACTTCCTGGGGCTTGCTCTGATCGCTGCCCATCACCTGACAAAAGCACAAAGTGAAATAAGCATCAGAATTTTCAACAGTGTTGAAGGCAGCAGAGAAGTCGAGGAGGACAAGGAGGCAGAGACCGCCCTGGTGACAGGTGTTCAAAATGTCATTAGTGACTGACCAGGGCTGTTTCAAAACCCGATTTGAGGGGTTCAGAGAGGGAATGGTGGGAGAGGAAGCTGGGACATGACAACTCGTTCCAGGGCCTTGGAGAAGAATGGGAAGTTGAAGATGGGATAGCTGGAGAGTAAGGATGGGTCCATGGAGCAAAGGTGGGTAGATGGAAATGAGTTTCGCCCACAAATATACAGTCAATTCACTTTACAGCATATTCTGTGAAGCGCTTTAAGACATCTAGAAGACATGAAAAGCGCTATATCAAATGCAAGGATTATTATTTTTATTATAGGAACAGATTAGCCATCATCTAATAAAATGGTGGAACAGGCTCGAGGGGCTGAATGGCCCACTCCTGTTCTTAGGTTCTCTCTCGTGTGTGAGATTAACCTGGAGGATTGTTGGGAAAGGGGAGGAAACAAAAGCATTCTGTTCATCTCTCTCTCTGGTTCCAATTATTTGGGTTCATTTTATACAACAAGGATTGTGCTAAAGGAGATCACGTATCTAACTTATGATGAAAAATAAATTGGATTTTTACACTTCAAAACATCTTTTAAAAAAAAGCTTCACAGTAATTGCTGTCAAGTGGTTGGTGACTGCCTGACAGCCAATTTGCTCACAGTAAGGTCCCACAAACAGCAATAAAGAGAACAATCAATTTATCTGGAGGATGGTTAGCCACGGAAGAGACTGCCTTCTCCTTTCCAATTGGATCTGGTGTGTTCTTTATTGAATAGTTTAACACCTCACCTAAAGTACAGTGGGAGGAGCGAGAGAAGAAAAGAGAGATGGTGCGAGGGAGCTGTTGTCGTTCAATCGATGTACAGAAATTCTCTGCAGCAACAACGCTCTCTCCTTGTTCTCTCACCTGAGCAACGCCACTAAATTACCGTATCAATAAACACTGACAAACTGCATTGTCATACTCCAGCAATGGGTTTACTCTGTGCCTCTCGAGTAGAACCGGACAGTCACTATCAAACAGAACACATGAAAACCAAACGGAAGGTCAAACTGCGCAGATATTTCTGTTCCTGCAAATGCAATTTAGTATTTGCCTTTTAACATTGCAGTCTGAGTGCAAACCCCGGGGTTTAGGATTAATAGATTTTTGTTTTACACACTGCAGGGGGGGGTGTGGGGTGATAACCAGCGGGTGTGGACCCCCCTCCCCTCCCAGTGCGGTACCTGCGGCTTTAAACCCCTCTCGTCAGCTGTTCACAACAAACAACACTTCCGGGTCCACGCAGCGCACGCGCGTCACATGCAGTGCCGTGTCAGGTCCGAGCGCTCCGGTCCTGGGGAGACATAAGCAACAGTCAGGTGGTACAGCGTGAGCCCCACTGATAATAATAATAATAGTAATAATAATCCTCGCATTTGATACAGCGCTTTTCACGTCCGGAGGACGTCCCAAAGCGCTTTACAGAACACACCGTAAAGTGAATTGACTGTATATTTGTGGGCGAACGCAGCGGCTGATTGCGCACAGCAATGTCCCACAAACAGTCGGAGATTGAAAATGACCAATTTAATTATTGTTTTTGGTTTTGGAGGGATTATTATTAGGCTCTGTGTGGAGTAAGGAAACTTGCCCAAGGTTTCGCCCTCTGCCTGGAATTGAACTCAGGTCTCTCACTTGCAAAGCGAGTGCTCTAACCACTGAGCTACAGGACTCTACTGCTCCCCCCCCATCACCCCCCAAAAACACGACAGTGTACACTTTAAACTCACTCCTTGTCAGCCACACTAGTCCAGGTCGAGCTGGCGATGTCTGAATTCTCATTGTATAGATGTGACCTGATTTTTTAAAACTTGAATTGCTAAGTTTCTTTCAGTTTTTTTTCAATTATACTGCAGAGTTTAATTATTGTTTCCTAAAATACTATTAGCAGCAAACAGGCACCGGAGGTAAAGGATTGTGTGATGTTAATTAGGTATTAATCTCAATACTTTGTTCACACACAGGCTCTTTAAGAGTTTGCCTGAGACTGAATAGCCTTCTGAACTGCAAAATTCTTATAATGAGGTATTTTATCAAATGCAATTATTTAGCCAGTTTGTGATTAAAGGATCGGCTGCAATCTAATAAACTGGCAGCATTTCCTGTTCACAAATTCCTCTCTTGGGTTTGAGTTTTGATTTGATCCCAAACAAAAGCTGCGCCATCTCTTTGTTCCAATACTGTTGAAGTGAACAAGTTTGGTTGGTCTTAGTCCATGTGAGCCGAATGGCTCCACCCACACCAAATTCTACATGAGGTGCACACCATATCAGTCCTCACCTGGCTCCAATCAAATCTCTCCAGTGACTGCCAGATTAAAGATTAATCAATTACATTTTTTTTCCAACAATTTGCATTTATATAATGCCCTCTACGCGGGGTAATGTCCTGGAGCGCTTGGTAGTGGCGAAATCTGACCCCGAGCCAGGAGGAGAGGAAGGGGGGAGGTGACCATAAGCATGATCACAAAGGTCTATAGATGGGATAATAATCCTTGTATTTGATATTGTGCCTTATCACGTCTTCGAAATGTCTCATGACGCTTCAATTTGAAAGTGGGGAGCGAGGCGGCAAGGCAAGGCAAGGCAAGGCGGAGGGATTGCGGAAGAGAGTTCCAGAGTTTTGGGGAGTAGTGGCACGGCCACCGATGGTTGAGTGGAGGGGACGAGGGACATACAGGAGGCCAGAGCCAGTCAAGCGGAGGCAGCGGGTGGTAGAGTGGGAGGTAAGCAGGTCGGAGAGGTAGGGAGGTGATAGTCAGGGCACAAAGTGATTTGAAAATGAGTGTGAGGATCTTGAATTGATCCAATATACATTGCATTGGATACAGCGCCTACTCACGCGGTCGAGACATCTCAAAGCGCTTCACAAAATATACTGTAAAGTGTAGTGACTGTACTTTGTGGGTGAAACACACAGAAACCTGAATGGTGATCGTTCTCTCTGGTGTATGGCTGTGAATGTCCAGCTTTGGGTCACAATCCACTGTCACCGTACCGGGGGGAAGAGGAGAAACTAACACGTGCGGTGGCACAACACGTGTGCGCTCAGCGGCTTCCGGCGTCAAGATGGCGACTGTGCAAGTGGTCTATACCTGTCTATTGTGGCGGCGGCTCAACGTAGCGGCGGCGACGTGAGGACGCAAGCCACGGGGTTGCCTGAGGAGCACGCAGAGGGCGGCTTCACCCCTCACAGACTCAGCCGGCGCCCGGCCATGGCGGTTCGCGCCTCCTTCGAGAACAACAACGAGATCGGCTGCTTCGCCAAACTCGCCAACAACTACTGCCTGGTGGCCATCGGCGGCTCCGAGAACTTCTACGGGTAAAAAATAAATAAATCCAGTGGAGCCCGGGGAGGGGCTTCCAGCGCTGGCTGGGCCTCGCCGCCGGACCTCGCGTGGCCCAGGGGAATGCGGGGCACGTGAGGTCCGGGGATGAGGCCTAGTCAGCGCTGCTCGGCCTCCTCCACCCACTCATATATATATATATATATATTCCATGATATGACGGGATCAGGAGAAAACTCTTACAGTGGTTTATAGTCTCCTTTCACCTCAGTTTGGCCGCTCTGTGGCCTCTGGTCTATTCCTATTACGACATCATCCATCAGTCGGGTTAAACACCCACTAACTAACGTGTCTCACCACCACTGGTCTCAGCTCAGCCCACGTTCTCTTAGTTATTAGCGGGTGAATAATCTGATTCAGTGAGTTCTGCCTCAATAATAACAATAATAAGTCACCCCACTTTACAGTGTATTCTGTGAAGCGCTTTAAGGCGTCTCAGTGATGTGATAAGCGCTGTATCAAATGCAAGGATTTTTGTTATGATAAGAAGAGCCCACATCAAAGCAAAGTCGTTATGAGCGAGTGGCCGCCATAAATCGATTATTCCCTGTGGTAACTTTACTGATACTGTAGTCCCACCCCACCATGTTGGGGATGAGGGGGGACTCGGATGTCACAATCCAGGCTGACACTCCAGTGCAGTGCTGGGGGCGGACGATGGGGGGAGAGAGAGCTCCCGCATTGTCCGAAATGCCGTGCTTGCTTAACAATGAGATGTCTTGCCGAGCTACTCTTGCTTGTGGTTGCTCAGGCAGATGTTAAAGATAATAATATAATAACAATAATTCTTGCATTTGATATAACCCACAGTGCTTTTCAAAAAGAGACGGGAATTTCATCCCGTGTCCTGGCTGACATCTCAAGGTTTTGTTTTGGTTAGCCGAATGTCACAGGCAGAAACTCATCACCCTGCTCCAAATCGGACAGAGTCACACAATGCTGACACATACACATTGGGAATTGGCCCATGTCTGGAATGGGATGTGTGCACACTCTCTCCTAGAGGACCATGTCCTGCTTATCAATTTCCTAATCTGGTGGTCTCCTCTGGACAAGCAGCAGGAAACCTGCCAGACAGTGCTCGTAATGGCAATCTATATGGGGTTTAACTAGTTAAAAACTCCAGCAGTCACTCCTTGTAGTCCCCAAGCCTTTTCTCTAATGCTACCCTGCATGGAGGGTGCTATGTAAGTGGAAGTTGTTGTTGTTCTTGCTAACCTGTGCCAAATTCTCTCTGGAATACAATAAGACTGTCTGCCCAGGGAGAAAGTGCGCATTCCATTTCAGACACGAACATTTGTGTGTGGCAGTGGTGTCTGTATAACTCCTGTCTGATTTCCACACTTAAGAACAGTGATGGGTTTCCAACCGTGTCATCTATCTGATCAGAAAAGCTTCAAGAATCTCTGCAATTTCCATTTGACACAAATCTGCCATAGCTTGTGGTAGAGGATTCCACCTTTCGCCCCGTTGTTGTTTTCAAAGCTCCCCGGATTTACAATTGTGACCTGGATGATATCCTGTTGCCTGAAAAAGGTTACTAGGACATGTCAAGCAGGTCTCCTTGAACCATTTGATCTAATTTTACCAGAGTTTCGTACCCTACTGCCTTCCCATTACAGCATAAGGTATTTCGTAAATGTGTCTTAACATCCTGGCCTTTTACACACTTCCTCGTGACTCCACCCTCGCTCGCCTCCACTGGCTCCCCATCCCCCAGAGGATCGATTTCAAGATCTTCATCCTCATCTACAAGGCCATTCACGGCCTTGCTCCCTCCTACCTCTCCGACCTACTATCCCCCTACCTACCCGCCCGTACCCTCCGTTCCTCTGGCTCTGGTCTGCTCCACATCCCCCGCCCCAACCGCCCTACCATCGGTGGTCGGGCCTTCAGCCTCTCAGCCCCTAGACTCTGGAACTCTATCCCCCAGTGCCTTCGCCGCTTCCTCCCTTTCCTCCTTCAAGGCCGGTCTCAAGACCTTTCTCTTTGACCGAGCCTTCAGCTCCCCTCTTGACTCTCTAACGCCTCCTCGCTCCCTCCCCTCACCCTGACCATTTCCCCCTTGCTCAGCTCCTGACCCAACTGTACAGCGCCTTGGGACGTCCTCCCGACGTGAAAGGCGCTCTATAAATGGAATCTTGTTGTTGTTGTCTTCCAGCAGTTAATTATTTATAAATATGGTTACAATAAACCTTGCTTTTGATATTAGGGCCTTATCACATCTTCGAGATAACAACAAGAAAAACTTGCATTTATATATCGCCCCCACGCAGGACAGATACTATATCACTTGACAGTGGTGGAGCAAGACTCCAAGTTGGGGGGAGGTGGCCGTAGACACGGTCGAATAGGAAGGTCTTCGAGCATGATCTGAAAATGGGGAAGGAAGGGGCAAAGCGGAGGGATAGAGGAAGAGTATTCCAGCATTTTGGAGTGTAATGGCTGAAAGCACGGCCACCAGTGGTGGAACGGAGGGCATGTGGGACATGCAAAAGGCCGGAGCCAGTCTCGCGTAGACAGCGGATTGGGTTGTGGGGTAAGCAGGTCAGAGAGGTGCCAGGGCATGAAGGGATTTTAAAACGAGTGTGAGGATCTTAAAATCGATCCGTTCGGTGATGGGGAGCCAGTGGAGCTTGTCTAGAACTGGAGTACAGAGTTTAGTATGCGGGCGGCAGAGTTTTGGATCAGTTGGATCCTGAGTATGGTGGAGCTGGGGAGACTGGCAAGAGGGCATTTGAGAATACAGTCCGGAGGTGACGAATGTCTCAAAGAGCTTCACAAAATATACTGTAAAGTGAATTGACGATATATTTTGTGGGCGAAACCCAGCAGCCAATTGCGCACAGCAATGTTCCATAAACAGTTGTGGATTTTTTAAAAAAAAGGAATTATTACCCTTGGAAAAGCGATCCTCCAATCGACTAACACCTGTGTTCCTCCAGGCAGGGCGAAACCTTGGGCAAGTTTCCTTACTCCACACACCTAATAATAATCCCTCCAAAATAAAACAATAATAAATTGGTCATTTTCAATCCATGACTGTTTGTGGGACATTGCTGTGCGCAATTGGCTGCCGCGTTCGCCCACAAATATGCAGTGAATTCACTTTACAGTCTATTCTGTGAAGTGCTTTGAGATGTCAAGAAGACGTGAAAAGCGCTATATCAAATGCAAGGATTATTATATTATTACTGCTAGGTAAACAGATGCATGTGAAGTAAGGAAACTTGCCCAATGTTTCGCCTTGCCCAGGAAACAAAACGTGGAGTTCTGTAGCTCAGTGGTTAGCGCACTCGCCTTGCAAGCGAGACACCTGGGTTCAAATTCCCGGCAGGGCGAAACCTTGGGCAAGTTTCCTTACTCCACACGCCTAATAATAATCCTTCCAAAACAATAATAAATTGGTCATTTTCAATCCACGACTGTTTGTGGGACGCTGCTGTGCGCAATTGGCTGCCACGTTTCGCCCACAAATATACAGTCAATTCACTTTACAGTCTATTCTGTGAAGTGCTTTGAGATGTCGAGAAGACGTGAAAAGCGCTATATCAAATGCAAGTATTATTATTATATATAAAACCAGGTCTCCCGCTTGCAAGACGAGTGCTCTAACCACTGAGCTACAGGATTCCATAGGACTGGTACTTTGAATCCTGGCATCTTTACCTGATATTTACTGTCTTATCTACTGTCTCAGTTGGCCAGGTGTTTTAGATGGAGAAAGAAGAGTGCATTTTTAAAATAGCCTTTTTACATAGAAATGAGTTAAAATACTTACAAATACAAATAATTCCTTTCCAGTGCGTTGACTCACATTGTGCTAGCAATGTCCCACAAGTCATTGATGAGGTGTCTTTATCTGGAGCATAGTTGGCGAGGACACCGGCCTGGAGAATCTCCCTTCTCTTTTTGAAGGATGTCATGGGTTGTGTAGTAGCTGTTGAGTTGGATGTTTTGTTGACCCTGTGAGCCTTATGTAAGGAATTTCAATAGAATGATTATTCAGATGAATGGATAAATAGAAATGGTACATTCACTGTATGTGGCTTCCTCTCTGTAGTGTAGTTTAACACATGCAGCAATTCATGCCTGTTTGTTACAGTTAAATCCTAAAGTATTGCACCTTCATGGATCATGCTCATTGAAAAATTGTATTGTGTGTCCAATTACTTCACTAAGAAGAGTACACAGATTGCAGGAGGCCGTTTAGCTCATCATGCATGTTCCTCCAGTTTGTTTCTTGACAGATCATTCATGCCGTTTCCCCTCCTTTTCTACATGTCTGGTACTTGCCAAGTAGGCATCCATCCATCTCCCTTTTAAACATCTCATTCAATCTGTATGGCCTTGTGATATTCATTCCACGTTCTCTGGTGCTGTTTTAAATTTACCCGGCCAAAAGGTACTGTGAATACTGCAGTTTGTTCCCAGGTTAGGGAGTCAGTAGACCAGCCAGGATTCGGACTCCTGATCATCATCCCCCAACCTCCACTGAAGATACATGTGGGTGAATATCGGTTGACAAGATTTGCCTGTAGTTGGTAGTGATTAGCATGCTCGCCTTGCAAGTCAGAGGGCCCAGGTTCGATTGCTGGATGGGGTGAAACCTTAGATCATTTTCCTTCCTTCACACACACTTCTGTTTATCTAGCAGTAAGTAGGAACCCAGTTGTTAGTCTATTGGCAGATCGCTTTCTGAGGGTAATAGTCCCTTCAATAAATAAAATAATAATAATTTGGTCACTCAATCCACGACTGTTTATGGGACACTGCTGTACACAATTGGCTGCTGTATTTCGCCCACAAAATATACAGTCAATTCACTTTGTTTTATATTCTGTGAAGTGCTTTGAGACTTCTCAAAGACGTGATAAGGATTATTATTATTGTGGTACAAGCCTCTGGGCTTAGGGATCAGTTGATTAAAATTGTTTAGACAATAACCGTTTTAATTGTTGCTACGTATGACTCAGTAATGCAATACTGCAGTTCCTAGAATCCTGTTTCCAGATGGTCATAGAATTATACACACAGAGGGAGGCCATTCGGCCCATCGTGTCTGTGCCAGTTCTTTGAAAAGAACTATCCATTTCAATCCCACTCCCCCGCGCTCTCCCCATAGCCCTGAAACTTGTCCTCCCCAAATAATGATCTACTCCTCTTAAAAGCTGTTATCGAATTGGCTTCCACTACCCTTTCAGGCAACATATTCCAGATCCGAACAACTCGCTGTGTAAAAAAAATGTCTCCTCACCTTCCCTCTGTTTCTTTTAACAACTATTTTAAATCGGTGTCCTCGGTTTACCGACCCACCCGCCAGTGGAAATAGTTTCTCCACATTCACTCTATTGAATCCCCTCATAATTTTGAAAACTTCTGTTAAGTCTCCTTCTTAAGTCGCCTTAAGTCAAGACCTTCTCGGCTCCAATGAGAATAATCCTCGCTTCTCTCGCCTCTCCTGATAACTGAAGTACCTCATTCCTGGTATCATACTGGTAAATCTCCTTTGCACCCTCTCCAATGCCTTGACATCCTTCCTAAAGTGTGGTGTCCAGAACTGAACACAGTCTCTAGCTGAGACCTAACCAGTGGTTTATAAAGATTCATCTTAACTTCCTGACTTTTGTATTCTATGCCCTTATTTAAAGCCTAGGATCCCGTTTGCATTTATAACAGCTTTATCCACCTGTCCTGCCACCTTCAAAGACTTACTTATATGAACCCCCAGGTATCTCTGTTCCTTCACCGGCTTTAAGATTCTACCATGTAGCTTATATTGCCTCTCCTCATTCTTCCTCCCAAAATGCATCCCATAATTCGTATTTCTCCACATTAAACTTGGATCTGCCACTTGTTTGCCCATTTTACCAGTCGTCTATGTCCATTTGCAGTCTGCTACTATACTCCTCACTGTTTGCTACTTTTCCTAGCTGCAAACTTGGAAATTGTACTCCCTATACCCAAGTCCAGGTAATTTATATAGATCAAAAACAGCAGTGGTCCCAATACCGACCCCTAGGGAACACAACTGCACATTTCCCTCCAGTCAGAAAAACAACCGTTCACCACTTCTCTGCTTTCTGTCTCCCAGACAGTTCTGTATCCATGATGTCAGTGCACTTTAATACCATGGGCTTCTATTTTGCTTACAAGTCTCTTTTGTGGCACTTTATCAAATGCCTTTTGAAAATCCATATAAACTACCACCTTCATCCACTGTCTCCATTACTTCATCAAAAAATCATCAGGTGTGTTAGACATGATTTGCCTTTAACAAATCCATGTTGGCTGTCCTTTATTAACCAATATTTTTCTAAGTGAAAATTTATTTTGTGTCCTGGATTATAGTCTCCAGAAGTTTCCCTATTATTGACGTTCGGCTGATTGGCCTGTAGTTCCCAGGTTTATCCTGCTGTCCCTTTTTTGTACAGCGTAGTATCGTTTGAAACCCTCCAGTCCTCTGGCACTACCCTGGTGTCCAAGGAGGATTGAAAGATTGTGGCCAGAGCCTCTGTTATTTCCACCCTTTCTTCCCTCAGTAATCTAGGATGCATCCCATCCGGACCAGGTGACTTACTTACCTTGAGCACCGATAACCTTTTTAGTACCTCCTCTCAGTTTATTCTTATCCAATTTCTCTACCCTCTCCTCCGATACTGTGGTATTGGCTGCATCTTCTTTTGTGAAGACAGATGCAAAGTACTCATTCAGTACATCAACCATGCCCTCTTCCATAAGAAGATTTCCTCTGTGGTCCCTAATTGGGCCCTACCTTTGACTAAACTTTTATTCTTTGTAGTTTATAAAATACATTCGGGTTCCTTTCATGTTACCTGCTAATCTTTTCTCATACAATCTCTTTCCTTTTTTCCTTTTTCAGTTTTCCTCTGTACTTTCTATATTCTATTTGATTATCTTCTGTATTTGTGGACTTCAAGGTCCACAATTTGTGGTCAAGGTCAAATTTGTATTTGTGGTCAAGGTCACCAATGATATCCTGACCATCTGTGACCAGGGCTCCCTCTGTCTCCTCGTCCTCCTCGACCTATCGGCAGCATTCGATACGGTCGACCACGCTATCCTACTCCACCGCTTGTCCTCCCACCTCAACCTTCAAGGCACTGTCCTTGAATGGTTTAGGTCGTACCTTTCTCACCGTCTTCATTTTGTCTCAACGAATGGCTTCTCCTCCACCCCCCGTACTGTCTCATGTGGTGTCCCTCAGGGCTCTGTCCTTGGTCCCCTCCTCTTCACCCTCTATATGCTCCCCCTGTGGTGACATCATCCGCAGACATGGAGTTAACTTCCACATGTATGCGGATGACACCCAACTCTACCTTTCCTCCTCTACTCTCAACTCCACGACCACCGATGTCCTGACAGCTGCCTGTCCGACATCGAGTCCTGGACGAGAGACAACTTTCTTCAGCTCAACGTGCGAAAAACCGAGGCCCTCCTGATTGGCTCACGTCAGCGCCTCCGCACCTCAGGCGCTGACACCATCAGCATCCAAGGCCGCACTCTCCACCTCTCAAAGCCAGTCAGGAACCTCGGCGTTTTGTTCGACCCTGAGCTGTCCTTTCTCCCTCACATCCGCACCACAACTGGCACCGCCTTCCATCACCTCCGGAACATCGCCAGACTACGGCATTACCTCACCCCTCACGCTGCTGAAACCCTGGTTCACGCCTTTGTCACCTCAAGGCTGGACTATGGGAACTCTCTCCTCGCCGGCCTTCCCGGCCCTCCCTCCACAAGCTGCAGGTCATTCAGAACTCTGCAGCTCGTGTACTGTCCCGCACCAGGCTTCGGGACCACATCACTCCCACCCTCCCTCGCCTCCACTGGCTCCCCATCCCCCAGAGGATTGATTTCAAGATCCTCATCCTCACCTACAAGGCCATTCACGGCCTTGCTCCCTCCTACCTCTCCGACCTACTATCCCCCTACCTACCTGCCCGTACCCTCCGTTCCTCTGGCTCCGGTCTGCTCCACGTCCCCCGCCCCAACCGCCCTACCATCGGTGGTCGGGCCTTCAGCCTCTCAGCCCCGAGGCTCTGGAACTCCATCCCCCAGTGCCTTCGCCGCTTCCTCCCTTTCCTCCTTCAAGGCCGGTCTCAAAACCTTTCTCTTTGACCGAGCCTTCAGCTCCCCTCTCGACTCTCTTCCCCTCCTCGCTCCCTCCCTTCCCTCCCCTCACCCTGACCATTTCCCCCCTCCTCGCTCCCTCCCTTCCCTCCCCTCACCCTGACCATTTCCCCCTGCTCGCTCCCTCCCTTCCCTCCCCTCACCCTGACCATTTCCCCCCTGCTCGGGTCATGACCCAACTGTGCAGCGCCTTGGGACGTCCTCCTGACGTGAAAGGCGCTTTATAAATGGAATCTTCTTGTTGTTGTTGTTGTTCACATTTAATCTCAATTTCCTTATTCATCCAGGGCGGTTTGGTTTTAAATCTGTGTATTTTTTAAAAAAAGAATCGTTTGATTAATTTAATATTTATTTTCTATATAAAGAAGGTAATAATGAGCTTTATTTAATAAAAAAATCATGACTTGATTGTTCCCATATTTCATTTTGCTGAAGGTAGTTAAAGGAACTGCATCAATTTTTAAAAAAATGTAAATGTAATATGTCTTTGATTCTGCACAAGGCTGTAAGGTTGCCACATGGCTACAATATTTGGAATACCATGAAACCTGATCTATACATGGCACTGGTTACACAGGGTCTCTTTATTGGAGGGACGGCCTGTGTATATAAATATTGAATGCTACCTTTGACTTGGTGCGTGTTCACATTGAATTGCTGCTGTATAATCGAGCTTGACGGGGGAGCGTTCAATGTGGTTTTTGGATTGAGAAGTCAATTTTTTTCCTGCTCTGAATTACTGGAGGTAATGATGATTAAATCCAGCCTAACACTACAGTGGAGCTTGTAGCCTGGATTTTTGTGTTGCTTTCAGAAGTGTACTCCTAGGCTCCAGGACCAGAAGGTGAATTTTGCACCCACTCAGCAGTTGCTAATCCTAAATGGGTCACCGTGGGGAGTTTCTGGGTGGTTTCCAGATATTTTTCTCCCAATCTGGTTACTGGATAACAGATAACAATCATTTCATTTCATACTGTGCTGCTGAGGCCAATTGTAATGCCCTTAATGCTGCCCAAGCTATTATCTAACTCGACACAGACCTGGAGTCAAACTACTTGGGTTTCTCAATCTGTGTGGGGCTGCCTGCTTCTCACTGGATAGATGCACTGACAACAGGGAGCGACAACCAGTGGATTATTCTGAACATAAAGTGAGAATTGGCTGTTGATTTGCTCCATAATAATGGACCTTGTATTTTGTTTCAGGGTCTTTGAAGGGGAGTTGTCAGAGTCTATACCTGTGGTCCACGCATCAATAGCAGGATGTAGAATTATTGGAAGAATGTGTGTCGGTAAGTTTTTTTTTCTTTCCCCCCCCCACCACCACACACGCACAACACACACACAATTCTTGACATGAGACATTAAACTGAGATCACATCTGTCTGTCTGAGTGGAAGTTCTAGATCCCACGACACTATTTGAAAGAGAAGGGAGTTTTCTTCTGATGTCCTAGCTAGGAATTGTCTAAACTAATCACTTATTTATTTCACATCTGTGTCTGGGCCCCCACACTTTTTTATGTTAATTGTCGTGTGATTCTATGTAAAACAGTCACTTGAAAGGCTTTTGAGACATTTCAGTGCTATAAAAATGCAAGTTCTTTCTTTAAGAATAGTCAGCAGGAAGCGGAGTTGTTGAGATCAGCGTTGCTGCTTTGCCTGCACATTGCTCATGTTCCAGCTCTGAATTTCTGGCGGTATTGATGATTAAATTCAGAATAACACTAGTGGATCTTGCGGCCTGGATCCAGTGTTCTCTTCAGAAGTGTACTCCTAGGCCCCAGCACCAGAAGCTCAAAACGCCTTCACTTTACCTCCTCAAAAGGTTTCTTCTCCCGTCCAGTCACCTATGGTATACCCTTGGGCTCCATCCTTGACCCCAACCTCTTCCTCCTCTATATGCTCCCTCTTGGCGATGTCATTCACAGTCATGGGGTCAACTGCCACATGTATGGGGGTGACACACAAATCTACTTCTTCAGCTACGACTCCAGGTCCACTGATGTTCTCATGGCTTGTCTGGCAGACATCAGGGCCTGGATGAGCGAAAACTTCCTACAACTCAATGTTGACAAGAAGGAAGGCATACACATTGGCTCCAGTCAATGTCTTCTATCCTGCAGCTCTGAGTTCCTCAACCTCCCCGGCCTATCCCTCAGACTTCCTGAATCAGTGCGCGACCTAGGCATCAGGTTCGATCCACAGCTGTCCTTCCTTCCCCACATTGGTCCTTGGCCAGAACCACTTTTTTTCATAACCGCCACATTGCCCAGCTCTGACCATACCTTATTATAATAATAGCATATGATATATAGCGCCTTATCATGTCTTCGAGACGTGTCAAAGTGTTTCACAGAATATAATATAAAGTGAATTGATTGTATATTTTTGCGGACCAAAATACCCCAGACGCAGCCGAAACACCCTTTGCACAGAGATGGAACTTTCACAACAGTTAATGCTGTTGTATATTGGGGCTGGTGTGCTTAATGACTTCTAGGATCTCCTCCACTATAGCTGCTTTCAAAGCACTTTGGCTTGTCTGAGACCTGAGCTGCCACTTTGAATAGAAGCACCGAGATCAAAATAAATAGCTCTTCATTGATCCAGGAGCGTCAGTGAGACAGATACGGCTTTTGCTGTTCTGTGGGAAGCACAGATTGATGAGCTTACCATGTCTGAAAGAGAGCACGAGAGATTTGTCACTGGAGAAAACCATTGTCTTGTGTGCTTCTGGTTTCGTAACATGGAATTGTTTTGAGGGGGTGGGGTTGATGGACAGTTGTAGGTCTCGATATGGACGTTTACTGCACCTCACACACTGACCCTTCACTGTGGAGCAAAATCCATGACTGGTTTAGACCTTTACAACTGAAAAGTGAAATTAGATCTCAGTCCTGAAAGCCTGGCTAGAATTGAGGTCGTCTCTTACCATGTTTGCACTACTTGAGCCAACTCCTCAGTCTGTTGCTGTTTTGTGTGAATAATTGATGCATAACCTCAGTCTCCAACTCTCAGACTGTCTGACTGGAGGTTGAGAAAAAACGGAGATTCAGAGTAAAAAGATTTTTTTTAAATGTGGCACAGAATTGAAAGCAGGGATTTCTCTTGACGCTGGGCTGCCCCAAACCCAGTGTGTACAGCTCTTACAGCCAGCACACTGAGAGAGATTAAGCGGTGACTACCTACATGGATAGGGTGAGGTTTTATTGTTACAGACTGGTATACAGGGGTGAGTGAGAGAGAAAGCGCTTCACAAGATAAACTGTAAAGTGAATTAACTATATTTTGTGGGTGAAACGCGACAGCCAATTGCGCACAGCAGTGTCCCACAAATAGTCGTGGCTGAAGTGATCAAGAGATGGCTGAATTTAGCTATGCTCTGCTGGAGACTGTTAAACCTCTCACAGTGCCCTGATGTCACTTTACTACTGGAGCTGTCACTGGCTTTTTTTTAAAGCACGCTGGGTGTTTTGTGATACATGTTAGAGTCAAACTCCAGTATCTTAACCATTTAGTACATGTGAAAAATTAGCCCACAGGAGCTTTTTGGCAATTACAACAACAACAAATTGTATTTATATGGTACCTTTCACATCAGGAGGACAGATTTTACAGTTCAGAGAAGATTATTGGTCGAGTCTATTGGTCAATGTGTTAATAATTTTGTCTTAAATGCATGCTTCCTAAAGCATATTTGTACCAATCCACTCAGTAAACTTAGTGCAAACCCTAGCTTGGTTGAAATACTCCACATTTATTCCTGTTATTGAAGGCGTGCAGTAGAGTACATGACATCTGTATCTGGCGAATAATAATAGTGTGCTTCAGTATATTCCTTCAGGTAACAAGGGTTGTCCTCTTCTACTGTGCCTATGGCCACCTTTCCTTTTTCCTTGGCTCGGTATTGGGCTCCGCCATTGTTAAGCGCTCTGGGACACCCCCCGGCGTGGAGACCGCTGTTTTAGTGCAAGTTGTTGTTGTTGATGACCTTTACCAGAATATATGGCTGTACTGATTACTCGAATACAGCTGATTATTATTATCATCTTTTCAAACGTAGCAAAATAAGGAACATTCTCAGTTCATATGGCCTATCATGTCTCTGTCACTGCTCCTGATCCCTGTTACTCCAGGTTTCCCCAAATCCATTACAATATTCTCTTTGTTCAGGTGTTTATCCGTTTACTTTTTGAATGTTGTCGTGCTGCAGCCTCTCTCCTCTCCGCCTCCTGTATAATTTATCCCCATCGAGTGCAGCAGCACAAAGCGGAGCCAATGGAAGTGACAGGCATGAATCTTTTATCAGCCGCTCTGTGTGTGTGTGTGTCTGTATGTGTGTCTGTGGCTCAATGCCTGACTGGAGAAGCTCTTTGGGAAGCTGCACATGTGTAACATGAAGTGAAATCTTTCACGCTCTTCTCAAAGTTTAGCCAAGATCACTGTGCTTTTTTGCATTCAATATTTTGGGGTGCATGTGTGTGTGAGAGGAAAAAATTGCTTCTGATTCAAGATTCTCCACAATGAGAGATAGTGTCGCGCAATCTCCCTTTCTTCCACTAACATTGCTTCATCCTCATGTGATCAGACATCAGAAGACATTCGCTTGTGAGGCTAATTTAGAGTGACTCTGAGTTGTATTATAACTAACAATACGGCTCATACCATATTGTACTTCGCGTTTAGATGTGATTTTTACAAAGAGACGACTTATTTCAGACACGGATGAGTCCGCAGTGTGTATTTACAGCAGCCTTTCACCGTACAGCTGTTATACAGCTCTATGATAGTGAAGTAGCAGTGACTATAGCTGTGGACAATGCCAGGCCTTTTCGATGGACACCTTTCTGATTTCAGTGCTGGTTCTCAAGTCGGTACTTTCCTGACCTAACCCGCTCACTGTCTCCTTCGCAGGCAATCGGCACGGGTTACTGGTGCCCAACTCCACCACAGACCAGGAGCTGCAGCACATCCGGAATTGCCTCCCAGACTCTGTGGCCATACAGAGAGTGGAGGAACGGCTTTCCGCACTTGGCAATGTCATCGCCTGCAATGACTACGTGGCTCTGGTTCACCCAGACCTTGACCGAGTACGTACAGTATAATTTACCTCTGATTTATATACTGTGATTACACTTGGGTTTATGAAAGGTTGTCTGGAGCTGGATAATAAGGCTGTCTGACTCTTCAAATGGGACTATCTATGTAAGTGCCATGTGTAGCACCACAGCCTGAATTCCCATAGGAAAATACCATTCACTCACTGGACTGGTTAAGTCTGGATGAGTGTGATTTTTTTAGTGGAGATGGCAGGGGGTTGCAAACATTCTCTGAAGTGAATTTAAACAGGGTGTAGTTTTTAAATCCAGAAATGATCAAAAACTACAACTGCCCCGGGAAAGACGAAAGTCAAAAGACAATAGCTTCCTTTGTACAAAACCTTTCAAGTGGCATCAAATGCCTGGAAAGTGCAGCACAGAAATGGTTAAAATCAACATGAAAGGAGGAAGAATACGATGTGACCGCAGGTATGGGCAAAGGCATCAGTGGATATGTTTTACAAATGGTTTAAAATGAAGGGAAGATGAAGAAAAATAGAACTCTGAATCAATGCATTTAGTAAAATAAAATGACAGATTCCATAATTGCTGTGAAGGCATGAAAATTCCTCAAACAATCCCTGTAGCTTGACTTACTGTTCTCCTGCGCCTCTCTAGCACCTTTGCTCAGCACATTGCCCCAGAAACCCAAGCTCCCCGCTGCTTGCTCCACACTAATGCAGAACTCCTGCAACATAATAGCACAAATCAATGGAACTCCAGCCTTTGCTCTTAACCTCTGAGAATCTCTCTCATTTCAGACGTGCTGTTTATCAAATGATCGGCCGCGTGACGTGTGCTGTGAGCATATTGCAAAGCACTGGGTGAAATGACCCGGAGTCCCATTTCAGTTTACAGCCCACAAATCAGATGAAAGTGTCCCGCTGGCTCAGGCAGGCAGCCACAGAGCGCCACCCGCAGGCCCAGCTCCCAAGCCTGTTCTGTTTAGGGTCGGGGTTAGCCCTGGGCTAGTGGATTGTTGTGTAGTAGTGTAGAGCTGTCCTCTAAGGCAAAAGGAAGATAATGAGTCTTGCCCTTCTCTCCAAAAGTGTACAACCCCATCACTGAGCAGAAATAATGATCCCTATAAAATAATCCATTGTCCGGGTTAATCCCTTATCCCCATCTCCATTTCGTCCGGCCAACCCTCTCCCTCCATAACCCATTAATAATAATAATCCTTGCATTTGATATAGTGCTTTTCATGTCTTCTAGACGTCTCTGCGCTTCACAAAATATACTATAAAGTGAATTGACTGTATATTTGTAATAATAATAAATAATAATCCTTGCATTTGATATAGCGCTTTTCACGTCTTCTAGGCGTCCCAATGCGCTTCACAGAGTATACTGTAAAGTGAATTGACTGTATATTTGTGGGCGAACGCGGCAGCCAATTGCGCACAGCAATGTCCCACAAACAGTCATGGAATGAAAATGACCAATTTATTATTGTTTTTGGTTTTGGAAGGATTATTATTAGGCTCTGTGTGGAGTAAGGAAACTTGCCCAAGGTTTCGCCCTGACCTGCCTGGAATTGAACTCAGGTCTCTCACTTACAAACCGAGTGCTCTAACCACTGAACTACAGGACTCTGTGTTATGTTGTGTTTCTGGGAGGGAAACACGAAGATATTACTTATGAGGCCCGTGGACGTTTCTCAAATAGGTCATCAGTCCCTCGGCAGCAGTTGGACATCCCTGATCTGGAGCATCAGTGAGGGCTGAGTGAGAGCAAAATAGTTTTTATCAAGGAGTTGGGACAAAATTCTGGGTAATGTTTTTAAGAGATCACACATTCTCTTTCCGCTCCCCCCCACCCCCCACCGCCTTCTTAGAACGTAGCTGAATAGCGTTGGCTTTGAGGCTGCTGTACATTATGTGCTTGTTGTCCTGTAAACCTCTTAAACTTACGTGATGTTTCCAAAGGAGGGAATCGCAGTGGTAGAAATACTTTACCCCTTTTATTTCGTCTGATCATTGTACAAAAGGTGCACTTGATGTTTCTGTTCTTTGACGTCCCAGTGCACCCGTGAGCGTGAGCGCACATGGTGCCTCGTATCCCCTACGTCTCCAAATATTCCTTCATTCGTCTGTTCATTCCTATTTTAACAAACTAAATAATTTGGTTATTTAGTGACCTTTGTTTAAACCGTCTCACCCTGCTCCCTGTTCCTGACTGACAGTCCCAGTGCTATTTCTCTAAGTGTGACCTTTGTGTTGAGTTTGTTTAGTGGGTCACTTTCCATCGTACCGGTAGGATTAACATTGTACAGACCACAGCCTGTACTGTACCTGTGTCATCTCCAGCAGACATAGCGGATCGAGTCGAGGCGTGAAGGTTGATGCATTTCTGACAGAACGCCTTGGCAGTTATCGCCATGACAACCGTTTAGCCAGCATCTCATTAACAGCTGCTGGTGGAGTAAAGGAGGAATTCTGCTTCCCTGGCTTCCGACAGTTGAATGTGATGAAAAGACATATCCTGTGTTCTCCCTGCTACCTGCTGAATAGATTGGAGCCTGCTAAAGAGAGACATGGGTGAAATACAGTACAGGGGTCATTTGCCCTTCAAATTCTCATCCCACAATACAGCCTGGCTTGGACGTCCTCCCGACGTGAAAGGCGCTATACAAATGTAATCTTGTTGTTGTATAGGAGCAAGGAAATTAATGTGTAAATGACTATAAGCTGCAGGGATATGATAGATGCCAATGCGATGCCCTGCTTGTAAGTGTGAGGACTGGCGGGAGGGTTCCTGAATTGATCTGCAGCAGAGTGCATGTCATTTGAAGTGCTCCATAATCTGCGTACCCTTGGGGTGAAATGCTTACTATGAACCTCAAGACGTATCTATCGCTGTCAACATCAGCTGGGATGGGATTCATTCGGAGGGGGGTTGGAGAGAGAGAGAGCATATAGAGGCTGTGTCATCAGACTAGAAGCTTATAAAGTTAGCAGCTAATTGTCACCAATTATACACAACAAAATGCAAGAGTTTGTATCAATATACCAACAAGCTGGCTATAATAATGTAGGAACAGTAGTAGGCCATTCAGCCCCTCGAGCCTGTTCTGCCAGTATATAAATACTTATGGATAAGTTATTGCTGCTTAAATGAAGAAATGTGCAGAGTTCCTCGGTGCCGAAAGCCAGCATCCATCATTCATTTCCAGACTGCCAGGGTCCAGGGCTGAGGTGTTTGGGGCGGCAACAATTGCTCTTTGCTCAGTGGGCACCAACCTGCTTCATGTCCCCAGCCACACAAAGAGAATGAAAGCCCGACGGGCTGTCGGGCTTTCATTCTCTTTGCCCCCACTTTCTGGAATTCGATCCTGGAGTCCCTCCGAACCACTTCCTAGCTCACTTTGTTCAAGGTCCGTCCCAAGACCAACCTCTTTGACCGCACTTTCAGTCATCTCTCCCACCCCCAGTTTGGGTGTCTAGCTAGGGCTTGTTAAGCTCCATGGGACGGCCTCCTGATGTGATGGTGCTACTATATATATATATATATATACACACACACGTACATGCATGTGCACACACACACACACACACACACAAAAACAACAAAATTACATTTATAGAGGGCCTTTCACTTTGGGAGGACGTCCCAGGGCGCTGGTACACACATACATACACTCACATTTATAAATATAACTTTGTATTGTAATTTCTCATTTGTAATAACTCCTGGTTATCAGTGATTGGGTTTCTCTTCGCCCCAACTCCATTTAGAATCTGCTGTTAATGGCTCTCTGCACCGTTGTCTTCCTGGGGCATGTTTTTTGGGGAAAAGGCTGAGATTTAAGCTGTGGCTGTGAGATTTGAAAGGAAATGTAGGTCGGTGATGTCAAGAAATGAGTTCTCAAAGTGCTGACTCTTGTATTGAGAGATTGTGCCGGAGTTCATTATCTACTCGCAGTAATGACTGCAGAAATTGCTCACTGTTGAATTCAATGTCCGTTAAAGGAAAATTATTTTTTCTTAACAAAAAGCTTCTCTAACCCTTTAATTGCTGAAATTCTTTTGTCTTGTATCAAAGTCTTAGGATTTCCAGGGCGATTGCTTTCTACATATTGTTTGTCTTTAAATCCTTGCTTTTATCCTCGTTCTTCTTCTAATAATAATACTTGCATCTGATATAGCAGCTTATCACATCATCTCAAAGCGTTTCAAAGAATATCTTGTAAAGTGAATTGACTGTATATATTTTTTGTGGGTGAAACGCGGCACAGTTTCTTGTCAGTGGTGAGCTGTTGGGACTGACTGCCACAGAGGGTTGAGCTGGCTTCATGGGGGGTGATGTTGGGTTGAAGCTCTAAAGGGTTGCTCAGCGCACAGAAGCTCTTGCTTTGAACAGTTGGGAGACATGATGACTGAGTTATTATGATCTATTGCTCTGATGTATAATGTGTGACATTCCCTGGTGGATGTTCAGTTTCAGTTCTGTACTGGAGCCAATGTTTTGTGTTACTCCACATCAATCAAGTCATTTGCGTGGCCACCTACAGTTTTCCTTTAACCTCTCCCACCCAGATTTACTGCAATTAATTATTTTGTCTTTTGGCTCTTACAAAGAGCAGCGTTGGACACCAGAATATCCATTGTCCACTCCAATAGAGTAAGTAATTTGTGAAACCTGTTGGGGGTAATCTCTCAAAATACTGTTCACTACACCTTTGCTTTCCATCAAAGTGAAAAGTTTCAATACCGAGCCAGTTTGCTAGCTCCTCTTTTTACCGCCCCAAAAGAGGATCCTTTCTGTTTAGAACTGTTTAGAGGATTATGATTTAATGGAATAACCTTTCAAATAGTGTAAGTGTACACATGGCCTCACTGGTGCTCAGTTAACTCACCCATTTATAACCTTGCTTATAAATGATCACATTCCCTCTTTTTAAGGGTTAATGAATTGTGAATTAAAATGATCAAACGTGCCTCCTTTTCTTTTGTACTGTAAGAAAAGCCGGGATGATTAAAAGTTAATTGAGTCCACGGATTAATCAAACCAGTCGGGAGGATTATCTCACCTCAGTGTCAAACGCTTGATCCCAGTGTCCCAGTCCCTCCAGTCACTCCCCTTCAATCTGTCCGAGGGCAGCTGCTGTGTCTGGGGTGGGGGGTGGAGGGGGAGAAAAGGAGAAAGATAGCACTTGTGTTCATTTACAGACTGAGTAAAACAATCAGATTATAATAATAATAATCCTTGCATTTGACATTGCTCCTTATCACCTCGTCAAGCTGTCTCAAAGCGCTTCACAGAATATACTGTAAAGTGAATTAACTGTATATTTTGTGGGTGAAGCTAATTACATCAAATGTTTAATTGTGTGTGTGTAATGGATTTAACTAAATCTGGTTGTGGTTTCCTGTAAGCAGATATTTTGCTGGTTCACAGCTTGTGCCTGTGTTGTGGCACTCTGTGGCCTGCTCCCTCAGTCAGCCTTGAGGCTGTCTGCTTCTTTCTCCTTTAACTTTCTGGATTTGCGCCTGTGCTCCATGATTCCATCTCCACTGTTTTAAGATAAGTTTACCTGATACACAGTGATGGGCAAGTGCTCCTGTTGGGAGGCTCCCTGTAATAAAACACAAGAAGTTGTAAGTACCTTTCAGTACAAACCTTATAATAATAATAATAATAATAATAATAATCCTTGCATTTGATATAGCGCTTTTCACGTCAGGAGGACGTCCCAAAGTGCTTCACAGAATATACTGTAAAGTGAATTGACTGTATATTTGTGGGCGAAACGCGGCAGCCAATTGCGCACAGCAATGTCCCACAAACAGTCATGGATTGAAAATGACCAATTTATTATTGTTTTTGGTTTTGGAGGGATTATTATTAGGCTCTGTGTGGAGTAAGGAAACTTGCCCAAGGTTTTGCCCTCTGCCTGGAATTGAACTCAGGTCTCTCGCTTGCAAAGCGAGTGCTCTAACCACTGAGCTACAGGACTCCACCAAAGTCTTGAAACCTTGACTGTCAAGCCACTTGGGACGTCCTCCCAATGTGAAAGGTGCTGTATAAATGCAATTTGTTGTTGTACATGGTATCCATTGTGTGCTGTGTATACCAGCAGAACCTTAGCTTGGGCAAGGCCAGTCGGGACATCTGAGGCATTATTTGGTGTTGTATCAACCTGCGCCTTGGGACATTCTCCTGACATGAAAAGGGCTATACAAATGTAATTTCATATTTTTTTTGCTTGCCTGAGAAATTGGGTCTTGTGTTGAGAGATTAAGCTTGGCACTGCCCCCCCCCCCCCACCCTAATATCAGTATGTTTTTATCCTTCATATTTTGAACATAGGGCATTGGATTTCTCGCCGAGGCTGTGTTCCCGTGTCCCTTCTGACTGTCTGATCGATCTTCTGCAATAGATGCCTCCGTTGTTTGCTCATAAAATCAATTGTTTTATCCCTCAAAAGGCCTCAGATTCTGTCACAACTGTTATTGTGCAGTGGGTGGAAGGCATCATGACCCCAGACCAAAAACAGAAGGCAACCTCCCCTTTAACAGTCACAGTGAATTAAAGGGACAGCGTGGACAGGCAGGTGAGAGCCAGTCTGGGGGGCAGTCGCTGACAGTAAACTGTGGAACAGTCTTCCTCTATTCCTCTGCCTTGCCCCTTCCTTCCCTACCTTCAGGTCCTCTTCGACCGTGCCTTTGACCACCTGCCCCCCAGCTCAGCATCATGCTCCACCACTGTCAATTGCTCTGAGACACTACCCTGCGTGAGGCGCGCTATTTAATTGTAAGTTGTTGTTTTTAAGCTACACAAGTTTTTACAGTGATTCCCACATCTCTGTGGAAAATCAGTTTTCAGGCACCAATATGGTGAAATTAAAATGTTTTAATAAGTTGTAACCTTGGATTGTTCTCTGGCCTTCTGTGGGGTCTCCTTCTATACCTGGCAACTGCACTGCTCTGCCTGACACCATGGCTGCACTAGCTCGAGCCTGCCCGCACACACGTGCTGTGAAGCAGGTCGCACACATAATAGAGTGTGCAGGTCGCACACATAATAGTTCAGCAAAGACCAGACACTGCTGATTTCTGGCCAGCGCCAGGCCGATCTGTAGTACTGTAGACTATTTCTACAGTAATCAATGGGGTGGAGGCTCCATTGAGCCAGAATACACAAAGTCTTAGCTTGCTATATCTCTTAAGGACGGAAAATGAATTATAAAACTATTTCAAATGTACAGACAGCAACAACAACAAATTACATTTGTTCAGCACCTTTTACATCAGGAGGACGTCCTAAGGTATTAGGACAAGTAACACTGCTGTTGTTTAGAGGCCACATCATGAAGTAGTTTATCTGAGACTTTGGTGCCTGTAACTGCTAATATCTGAAGTCCTGTAGCTTAGTAGTTAGAGCACTCATCTCGCAAGCGAGAGCACCTGGGTTCGATCGCCGGCAGCGCGAAATGTTGGGCAGGTTGCCTTACTCCCCACGTCTCTGATTACCAGCAGTAAGTAGGAACCTGGTTGTTAGTTAATTGGTGGAACGCTTTTCTGGGGGTATTAATGCCTTCAAAAAAAAAAAAAAAAAATTTGGTCACTCAACCCACTACTGTTTGTGGGACACTGCCGTGCGTTATTGGCTGCCGTGTTTTGCCTACAAAATATACTGTCAATTCACTTTGCCGTATATTCTGTGAAGCGCTTTGAGATGTCTCGAAGACATGGTAAGCTGCTATGTCCAAATTAAGGATTATTATAGAAATATAAGATCTTCTGACCAGCGGCCTGAAATTCCACTGTCTTAAAATTTTAAATTCCGTAGAATTTTTTTGAGAAAATTCTTAAATTAAGTCTTAATTTGGAAAAAAAATTCCCGCATGTCTCTTTAAAAATTGAAGGGTTAAAAACTGCTTCCAAATCGAGACTGAATTTTCTTTTTGTTTCCAAGATTCGATTCAATCTTAAATACTAAAGCCGTGGCCTTGAGGCTAAGATGTGGTTAAATTTGGGGCCACGGAATTCTGCTTACATAAGAGACAAAAATACCAATAATCTATCTGGGTTCACGCTATGATCTGCAATGAGGCAATTGTGGAGTCCTGTAGCTCAGTGGTTAGAGCACTCGCTTTGCAAGCGAGAGACCTGAGTTCAATCCCAGGCAGAGGGCGAAACCTTGGGCAAGTTTCCTTACTCCACACAGAGCCTAATAATAATCCCTCCAAAACCAAAACAATAATAAATTGGTCATTTTCAATCTACGACTGTTTGTGGGACATTGCTGTGCGCAATTGGCTGCCGCGTTCGCCCACATATACACAGTCAATTCACTTTACACTGTGTTCTGTGAAGCGCTTTGGGACGTCCTCCCGACTTGAAAAGCGCTATATCAAATGCAAGGATTATTATTTATTATTAATTATTTTAATTGACTGTCCTGGTTTATATCGATGATTTACACGTACATTTATGCGTCTTAATGAGCAAGACAAATAAATATGTTAATGCATTCTGCTTCCACCACCACCGCTGTTTTTACCCTGAGTTTATTTCTGGCGTTCATTGAGATGCTTTTCAGTCTTAGGGATTAAATGGCTGCCTTTAAACTGCATGCCCGTGACCGTATGACCCTGCTGCTCTTATCAGTGAGGGGATATAGGAGTTCAGCATGCGCTAATCCTCGGGCAGCAGCAAGTCAAACAGGAAGGCGAGAGCTAATAGCATTAGTCCCAGTCCTATCTGCTGCCTGCTTCAAACCCACTGAGCTTTGCTGCTCCTACCTTGGCCACTTTAATCACGTCATTAATATTTACAGCTTTTTTAAAAAAATCTCTCTCTCTTGCTCGTCTGTGCTCTCTCATCCTCTTGGTTTATTCTGAAAACCTCTTATTGAATACTTTGCATGTTGTACTGTTACATTACAGACATGATTCTTTCCTGCAGATCAGATGGATTTTCAGTTCGATGAAAAGTCCGTCACATCATGCTGAACTCCCGCAAGCCAGCTCCATGCAATCCATCTCATTCACTGCTAACCTTCAGAGCTGTCAGAATAATCTTCCAGGGAAAGGAAGGGGGAATTATGTAAAAAAAAATAGGGCAATGAAGGAAGCTGCTAGGAATATTGGAACAGGAGGAAGCCATTCAGTCCCTCGAGCCTGTTCTGCCATCTATAAAATCATGGCTGATCTGTACCTCAACTACAAACACCATTGCCCCATACCCCTTGATACCCTTAACCTAACAAACATCTATCCACCTCAGTCTTGAAAATTTGAATGGATCCAGCATCCATTAAGAGAATCTTTTGGGTTTCTGGGGTGGAAAGAGACAAATTCAGATTCAAGGAGAGGATCTGCAGAAGGAACCTGATGATGCTGGTTTCTTCTGTGAGCTGTTGGGCCAGGGCAGAAGGTATTCCACTTATATAATAATAATCCCTGCATTTGATATAGCACCTTATCACATCTTTGAGACAGCCAATTGCACGCAGCAGCAGCAATTGCACATAGCCACCAAATTACTATTATTATTATTATTGAAGGGATTACTCCCAGAAAAGCAATCCACCAATCGATGAATAACGGGGTTCCTACTTACTGCTCGGTAAATAGAGGCTTGTGGAGTAAGGAAATTTACCTAAAGTTTCACCCTACCGGAAATCGAACCCAGGTCCTCTCGTTTGCATGCTAGTGCTCCAACCACTGAGCTACAGGACTGTTACTAAAGCCATATTCTCACTGTACATTGGTGCTGCCTGCCTGGTCCTACTGTAAGAAAAACAGTTGACCCTCTGGGAGCACAATCTCTAGATAACTGCACTTCTGTTCAACAAGCAGGCTCCTCTGGAGTAATAGTCAATCCACTGATGTATTTAATGTCTGTGCTGTTACCACTGGGCTTGATTTTGTTGAAGTGCTTCATTAAGTGGGAGAGACTGGAGAATGCAGGCTTGAGCTAATTGCATTTATTTCCTTTCTCTCTGCAGGAAACCGAGGAGATCTTAGCTGACGTCTTGAAGGTGGAGGTTTTCCGACAGACTGTGGCTGGGCAGGTTCTGGTTGGCAGTTACTGTGCTTTCAGTAACCAGGGAGGTCTGGTCCATCCGAAGACCACCATTGCGGACCAGGATGAGCTGTCCTCGCTGCTGCAAGTTCCTCTTGTGGTAAAAAGCTCCTTCAGTTTTTCTTCTCTCTTATTTTCTCTGGTTCAGGTTCCCTTTATGTATGCGGTAGTTTAGACTTTTGGGGTAAGTAATGCTCCCTCCCCCCCCCCCGGTGCTTTGCGATCTGTCATCCCCATGTGCTCTCCAGCTGGACATTACAGAGGGCTCCTGTTCCCTCCCCATTTACCTGCCATTGGTTCTGACTATAACACAAGGAGGTTGGTAGAGAGCACCCTCCTTCCTGTGACGATGATGGAGGCAGTAAACCCACAGTAAGACTTTCACATATCCACCGCAACAGGGGAAGAGCCCACGGGCTCTGAGGTGTGAAGGGCAAGTTTAGGAACCAGGAAGGATCTCTTTACACAGAGTAGTCAGCAGCCGGGCAAGGTTAGAGGGATGGTGGGGTGTGGCAGAGGCTAACGTGATACGAAAGCGGTGAGGTTGGCATTGTGGAAGGATGAGATCAAATGGACCCCAAACCTGAATATTTTTGTTATGATAAAACACTTGCTTCTTCATGTCATCCCTACTCTTCTCATTCCCCCCCACCCCCACCAACACCAACACAACTGTTAGAGATGCCGCTTGCCGAGCCCCTGCCAGCTCACACAGACTCCGTCTGGAAGGGACGTGAAGCCTTTAATCTCTTCAGATGTTGCTGCTTTTTTTGCTGACATTAATTGCTCGTGTCTGTTCTGCCGTTGCCTGGGCAACCGGTAACATTGCCCGTGCCTCTGAATCTCTGTTTATAGCCGTGACGACACGCTCCGTCCCCCTCACTGCGTATGGCAGGGAGGCTGGGAATTAGCTGGTGACGCACCAGCTCGGACTGAGGTGCCTGTTAACTGCAAATCAATAGACTGGGACTGACTGACAAGTGCACAGGCAGCGGAGTTATTCTGTATCCCTGGATGGACCAGCCTTGAGAGTGATCGGTGCTGATGCCTGCGGTCAACAACAACATATAGTACCCCTCATGCAGGGTAGCATCCTGTAGATCTTGACAGTGGCAGAGTATGACACCGAGCCGGGGAGAGAGGGGTTCGACCATAGGCATGGTCAAAGGGGCAGGTCTTCAGAGCAACCTGAAGATGGGGAAAGAAGGGGCAATGCAACAACAACAACAAGATTCCATTTATTGAGCATCTTTCACGTCGGGAGGACGTCCCAAGGCGCTGTACAGTTGGGTCAGGACCCGAGCAGGGGGGAAATGGTCAGGGTGAGGGGAGGGAGCGAGGAGGGGGTAGAGAGTCGAGAGGGGAGCTGAAGGCACGGTCAAAGAGAAAGGTCTTGAGACCGGCCTTGAAGGAGGAAAGGGAGGAGGCAAAGCAAAGGCACTGAGGGATAGAGTTCCAGAGCCTCGGGGCTGAGAGGCTGAAGGCCCGGCCACCGATGGTAGGGCGGTTGGGACGGGGGATGTGGAGCAGACCGGAGCCAGAGGAACGGAGGGTACGGGCAGGTAAGTAGGGGGATAGTAGGTCAGAGAGGTAGGAGGGAGCGAGGCCGTGAATGGCCTTGTAGGTGAGGATGAGGATCTTGAATTCGAGGGATAGAGGAAGAGTTCTACAGTTTGGGGCATAGTAGCTGAAAGCACAGCCACCATGATGGAATGGAGGGCATGAGGGACAAGCAGAAGGCCGGAGCCAGTCAAGAGGAGGCAGTGGGTTGGGGAGTAAGAAGTTTGGAGAGGTAGGGAGGTGCCAGGGCATGAAGTGATTTGAAAATGAGTGTGAGGATCTTAAATACGATCCGTTCAACGATGGGGAACCATGAGGACTGATGTGATGGAGGCATGGAGATTCCCAGTCAGTGGATAATTGAGCCATTTGATTGCCTCCATATGTTTCAGTCAAAGTGGGGTGAGGGCTGCCATGTACCTGTAACCTGTGCTGTTGCATACGCCTGCTGGTTCCTGCTGCAGTGACGGTGGCTATAGCCAGGACACATCCTCTGTGCTTTTACACTCCATCAGGGTTAACGTTTGCTGTTGTGATTCATTCTCTGCTGTTGGGTTCCGGGCATGAGATGGGGACAATGACAGGTCTTTCTTGCCTCTCTCTCACCCATCTATCTTACCTACCATACCACCACCTTGTATGGTGTTGATTAGTTTTAGCAGTGGGGTGGGGTGGGGCGGAGTATAGCTGGGATGGAGAAGGTCAGCAATGGTAAAAGGACCAAAGAACCAGATTGTGACCAGAACAAACCAATATTAAAGGATTGAGTCACTGTACACAAGGGCGATTGAGTGTTTCGAGACTTGATATTTGATCACCCTCCCCTGCCTTCCATTCCCCAAGACAGCTTTTAGTGACTCTGGGGAGATTTCTGTTGCAAAGCCCCCGGAGTCACATTCATTCAGCTTTCTTTCTTTCAAAACACGCCATGGTTTGCTGCTCGCTCGGCAACCCGGGGATGTGTGCACTGCTGGTCATTGTCAAACCGCACAGCTCAGATCCCGGAGCGTGTTGTTTACTCCCTTTCCGTATAGTCTCCTAGTCAAATAGTGGCTTGATTGAGAAAGTCCTTCAAAGGGCAAAATTGCACATCCATTATTACTGCTCTCAAATTGCATCCAGTATCCATGTATTCTTTAGGGATCACTCAATCACACAGAATTACAGCACTGAGGGAAACCATTCATGTTATCGTGTCTGTACTGGTGCTTGCTTCCCCCACTGGAGCTCTCTACTCTACCCCCATTCCCTTGCTCTCTCCCCATCGTATCTGTGCTGGTGCCTTCGGTGCCGAGTCCACAGGTGGTAGAATTTAACGATTTGTATGTATTCCAGGCAGGTACAGTGAACCGCGGCAGCGAGGTGATTGCCGGAGGAATGGTGGTGAACGATTGGTGTGCTTTCTGCGGCCTCGACACGACCAGCACCGAACTCTCAGTCATTGAGAGCGTTTTCAAGTTAAACGAGACTCAGCCCAGTGCTATTACAACCACCATGAGAGACTCGCTGATAGAAAGGTGAGTCAACTCGAGCCGGAGCACCCAGGCCCACTGGGGCAACTGGGACCAACTGGGGGTGAGCCATTTATTCTGTATTGTAACACATCCCAGCAGGGGTGGTTTTAACTTCAGTAAACTTCAGCAGGGAAGTCATTGCAACCATAGCAATTAACACCTGGAACTGGTTATCAGGGGCAGTGGCTGAGGCCAGGACACTGGACTGCATTTTAATGGGAATGAGAGGGGAGGTGTTCTAGAGGGACGAGATTAGGTCTTTCTTTCCCTTCCAACCCTCCTACAAGCTTTGTCCCTGATGTGACGTCAGTCTGATCTCCGAGGTTGAAAGCATAAATACCAATGGCCGTTTCCCCCTGTGTGGAAATCCTTTGCCCCAGTCCCCCTCCTCCCCCCCATGTGAGTGCGGTGAGAGGGTGCTATGCTTACAGCTTGCGGGTTTCTGATAAGCTAATCATGGAGCAGCAAAGAAAGGGACATTTATTTAAAAATTTGAATCGATGGGTAATAAATCGTCGACATTTCCATCAGCACACTTCACTTTGAGCACTCGAGGCAGCGGTGCCTGCCACGCCCCTTTAAGAAAGTCTGTTGTAAAATGTCAATCTCCCATCAGGTTCGTACCCACAGCTATGCTCATTACCACTGATTCATCTACAACAGGTTACCTCCCATCAGCTTGTGTTTGTCTGCAGGAGGCTTGTGGCCCACTAGGAGGGACTGTGCACGACTGACACAGAGAGAGAGAGAGTCCTGCACAGTCCAAGGTCACAGGCACCGTTATCGTACATCAGTTGGTTAATCTTGCGCGATAGAGCGGAGCTGTTGCTCCTGGGACTGAATGATCAAAAACACCTGCATCTCCACAGCCACGTCCATGGGGAACGCAGAGGTGGTTTGTCTTTCACTCCCCCTATCGGGGGCTCCTTGCCCAAACGCACAGGTGACTTTGACAAGGTCAATGGTGTGACTTTATAGCCACATAATGTAGCTATTAATCGTATTGATAGTCCTGTGGCCATTGCTCCTCTGAACAGTCTGACTGAGTTCCTCAGCTTATTAAAGGATCTGATTACAGCAATTGTTAGGCAGAAGGTGTTTCACACGGAGGGAAACGAACGTATGGAATTTGTGAGGAGGGAAGACTAGGAGAAAGGAGTCTTGTAGCTCAGTGGTTAGAGCACTCTCCTCGCAAGCGAGAGGACCTGGGTTTGATTCCCAGGCAGGGAAAAATGTTGAGCAAGTTTCCTTACTCCACACTCCTCTGTTTATCTAGCAGTAAGTAGGAACCCAGTTAGTCGATTGGTGGATCGCTTTTCCATGGGCAGTAAATAATACCTTCAGAAAAAAAAATGTGGTCACTCAATCCACGACTGTTTGTGGGACACTGTGCAATTGGTTGCCGAGTTTCTGCCAAAAAATATACAGTTAATTCTCTTTACAGTATATTCTGTGAAGTGCTTTGAGACGTCTCAAAGACGTGATCAGGCGCTGTATCAAATGCAAGAATTATTATTAAAGGGGGTGAGGGAGAGGGTGGGATGGTTGAGAGGAGACTTGGCTTACTGGCCCTTGTGTTTTTTTTATCAGTTGCTGAAATGTTTTTGTCCTTGTATTTCTTTAATTAATGCCTCAGTGGTTGTGATTTTCTGTGAAGAGTTTAGGTAAATGTATAGGGTGTGAGGCGAGGCTCCCAGTTCCTGGGTCTGTTTCCCAGCCATCTCATAACTGACTGTTAAAAGCCAGAGAGAGGGGAGGAGCGTCATTCAGGACGAGAAGCCGCTGATCACAGGCTTTACTGGAATTCTTGGCACAGACGCAGATGAGTGAAATTACTGAGCAGATTACCGCACATCATGGGAGGGGGAGAGAGAGAGAGCCCTCCCTCTTAAAACAGCTGAAGGCAATTGCTGGATTAGTGGCTGCATCTGTTCCCATTCGCTGTGCGGCTGAGATTGTGGATCATGTCTGAGAGTGGCAGCAGCTTATACATATATAGCACTTTCGTAGAGGATGGAGGAACGTCAAGCAGAGCCCTGTAGAGTGTAGTGAGGAGACACAGTTTCAGCACGAAGACCAAAGGCAGTTATAGAGAGATGGTTTTTAGAGCATTGAATGCAAGGAGAGGAATAAGGGTTATGAAGAGAAGAACAGAGACTTTCGTTATCTTTAGAATAAGCAGTTTACAGAAAATAATAGTAGCAGATGATACCCTTAAAAAAAAGTGGTCACTCAATCCACGACTGTTTGTGGGACACTGCTGTGAGCAATTGGCTGCCGAGTTTCATCCACAGAATATACAGTCAATCCACTTTATCAAAAGGAAGGATTATTATTATACCCTATTATCAGATCTCTTAAAGGGACAGGGTCCCTATCGGAGCTGTATAGTTTAATTCTAAAATATTACTTAAAGGGACAGTGTCCTGGAACTAATACAGGAGTTGGAGTGAAGGGTACTTGCTGGATGGGTCTAGGTTTTACAGTGAGCCTGTTTTACCGGCGATATTTAATTAAATTGTGTTGGCACATACGGAATGTGCATTACTGAAATAAAATTGGCGATGACTGGAGGTTTGCCCATCATAACAGCTCACACCCACATCCTCCAACCCTCAGACATCAGCTTCTCTCAGGAAACCCACTGTGGCACCTTCTAGATTAAATATCCTGGCCAGTGTCTCCCCACTGCATGTACTGTATTGGAAGATTATTAAACTGCATTGTTAGGAAGCAAAGCCACTGGCATAATGTATTCCGTACAGTCAATTAATTGCTATTGTGGTTGGAACAAAAATAAATTTCATTCAAGTAGAAAATGGGATTTGAGGAAAAGGCCACAGCTGGCTTAGTGATCAAAGTTAACATAAAACAGAGGAAGAGAGAGAGTGAGAGGGTGGTGTTACCTACAGCACTGAATTAGTGTGTCAGGGAACCTGTTATTTGTTACCCCCTTTCTGTGTAAGATGCCTTGCAGCTCTTCATTCCTGCCCTCGTCTCCCATCGCTGCTGAATGTGAAACTATCAGTGTTTGGTAACTGAGGTACTGTCCACTGAAGCATAAAGATGTCTCACAATAGCAGCATTAATAATCCTCGCATTTGACAAAGCGTCCAACGATAACAACACCCAGTCTCTGTACGGGAACTGCTGCTGATCACAGTAACTGTGTTTGTAAGCAAACGCGGCAGCCTGCCCGGACAGGCCAGGGAACGCCTCAGTAACAGTAACCAAGAAGTTTTAAGTCCGGGTTTGTCACAAACAATCTGTCTATACCCAGGAGGCGAGATAATCTTGTAATCACTCCTTGTGTTCTTGTTCTTCATATAGAGCGTATGATTTGCGTGTAGTGGCTGCCAGGGCCCCTCCCTCTGGTGTGGGGGTAGGTCAGAGCGGGGATCTGTTTAAACTATTCACTTGCACCATAGTCGAATCTGTATTTGTTGATTAGTGGATCTTGTAGCTCAGTGGTTAGAGCGCTTGCTTCACAAGCGAGAGGACCCGGGTTCGATTCCCAGGCGGGGTGAAACTTAGGCAAGATTCCTTACTCCACACACCTCTGTTTACCTAGCAATAAGTAGGAACCCGGTTGTTAGTCGATTGGCAAATCGTTTTCGGGGGGTAATTCTTCCAAAGAAAACAAAATGTGGTCACTGAATGCATGACTGTGTGACACTGCTATGTGCAATTATATAATAATAATAAACCTTGCATTTGATATAGCACAACTTCTAGACGTCTGGTTGCTGCGTTTCGCCCGCAAAATACACAGTAACTACACTTTATAATGTATTCTGTGAAGCGCTTTGTATCATCAGGAAGATGTGATAAGGAACTATATCAAATGCGAGGATTATTACTTTTGTTGTATATTTGTTAACTGAGAAACACCAGGGACTGTATATTAATGGGAGATTCTTTTCTGCTTGTTTTTCAGCTTAACATAAGGACAAGCCTGGGGGGAGGAGGAGAAGGCTTTCCTGTGGAATCACTGGTGCCTATTCTTTCTGCTCAAGAATATTGGAGCCCAGACGCCAGGCAAGGCTGCTGGCGATGAAGGAATCCTGTTCTAATGTATTAATTACTATATTAATTCTCTGCTCATTCTTCCTCTTTTCATCTCCACCCCCAACAAAAAAGTCTTCCCTTTTCTCTCCTCACCCCTACTCACCCACCAAACTAAATAAACCCCAAGGAAAAATCTTTGATTTAAAAAAAAGAGGGGAAAAAATGGTAACTGTCAGAATATTGTGGACTCGAATCAGCCTCGCCTGGTGTGCTGTGGGACTGTTACGGAGTGTGACAGTGACAGATCCTTGTCATCTGTCTTCCAGAATTTCACCCCAGGCCCAACAAGAGAAACCTCTGCTGCCTTGCTGACAGACTGAGGTAATGGCTGCCGGTGCTTGGCTGTGCTGCTCCTGGGTCATGGGGATTTCATGTCGGCCTGACTGAGGGGAGGGTGAATCCAAGCCTTGTATGCTGCTTTCTCACTGGGAGTGATCACTGCTACACAATACATTGTATAATGACAGCTCACTCCGCATTGCGAAGAACCTGTACCATGCCTGCCTTTCTGCGCAGTGAGTGCATTGTGGCTGTGCTGTACACAGCAGTATTGCTCAGTACAGTGTGGGACCCTGTATTACACTGTGCATTGATCCCTATTAGTGCATTGCTAAAGTGTTGCTCTGCATTGTGCAAATGTGCTCTCATCTCCTATGTTGGCCAGCCCTGCTCCTGCTATAGTGACCTTTATAATTGCTGTGTATGAATGCCCCGTGTGTCTGAGGTTTGTGACCAGACTTGTGGGCAGTGTGGAAGCCAAGCCCACTGTCTCCAACTGGGAGACAATAATCCCACTAACCCCTCATCACACAGCCACAGCCTCATGAATGGGGAGCCACCTCAGTAAGTGATGGTTTCAGCTTCTGAAAGCTCTGGTGTACATGTACAGGACTGGCACTGCTGTATGCGGGTAATCCACCCCCACTAGCAGTTAATTAGAGTGTCCCCTTAATGAGAGCGTTATTTTAATCACTCTCCAAGACCTCATTGCACTCTGAGGTTACGGTGCGTTGATGCTTAGATAAATGGAGATATGAAATACCATGATAATTGTATCATCTCTGAGGTTTTTGTCCTGGTAATAAGGGTTAGGAAAGCTGGGTTGAAGCCTTGGGATGTGATCAGGTTTACCAACGAGTTGGAGGCTGCAGTAGGCGGGAATGATCTTTTTGCAATAATAAACACTTGTTTTCTGTATGAAACGAAAGGATCTGAACGATTCTGTCATACTAACGTACCTTTTCCTGATCTTGGCAAGGTCACCACAGGGCAAGAGGAAAAATAATCCAAAACATCACAAGGAACCTCTTTTTCTCCCCTTTTCTCCCTCCCCCGCCCCCATCCATTAATGTGCAGCTCCTGATTCCTCTAGTGCAGAGTGGTCCAACTGGCGTCCCGGGGGCCGCATCCAGCCCTCGGGACAATTTCATCCAGCTCTCTCCATTCCATCTGGCTCACCTGCTCCTCCCTCCATAATCCATAAATGTTGTTATGTTTCCGGAAGGGAAACGCAAAACTTATGCTTATGTGGCCCACTGACGTTTCTCAAACAGGGCAACCGACCCTCGGCAGCCAAAAGGTTGATCCACTCCTGGCCTAGAGATTTCCTTAAGAAATATTGCATGTTCGACTGCACTGTTGTATTCTCTGACAGAAAGGACGGCACTGAGAACCGACTGGGGCATCCTAAGTTTTTCTCAACTCGCTTCAATGACTTGTGCTCGAGTTATTCAATCCAGTGTGTTGGTCAAACTTCTGGTTGCCTCCCCCATGATGTGCCTTTCTCTGGAAATAATTTCACGATGAATAAATTCTGATCTCCGGCTTTTTATTTTTAAAAAAAGTTTACTTTTAATTTTCTTTGAATGAGCCGTTAAAAGCTTAAAAAGTTATTAGGATGTTGAGCACGTTGCAGCAAGTCTGCATGAAGCCAAGTCATTTAAAAGGAAATTTAAAGATATGAAAGGGGTTTGGTGAAAGAGCATGGAAATGGGATTAGAGCAGGTATCTGCAGCCTAGTTAAGCAGAGTCATGATGTCGGTGAAAAGGTAAATGTTTAGAGGTGACTTTGTTTTTTTAAAGTTTAAATATAAGTATAACAAACTTACCCCCCCCCCCCCCCAAAAATAAACTTGCCAAACGTATAATTAGAGAGTGACAAACCACTAGCAAGTGAAATTGCTCTCGCATCCTCGTGGTTTGTCAGAAGTGTTCAGAAAGCTATAATCCTCCCAAGCCAACCATGCAATTAAACCTGCAAAATGACTATCTTTTTATACATGAAAATTTTTGTAAAATGTAGAGACTCTTCCTGAGTGATTTGCATTTGCACAGCACCTTATTGGAGCTTAGTGGTTAGAGCACTTACCTCGCAAGCAAGAAGACCTGGGTTTGATTCCTGGGCAGGGTTGAACGTTAGGCAAGTTTCCTTACTCCACACGCCTCTTTGCCTAGCAGTAAGCAGGAACCCGGTCGTTAGTCAATTGGCAGATCGCTTTCTGGGGATAATAATCCCTTTTTTAAAAAAAATTAAATAATAATAATAATCCTTGCATTTGATATAGCGCTTTTCACGTCGGGAGGACGTCCCAAAGCGCTTCACAGAACACACTGTAAAGTGAATTGACTGTATATTTGTGGGCGAAAGCGGCAGCCAATTGCGCACAGCAATGTCCCCCAAACAGTTGTAGATTGAAAATGACCAATTTATTATTGTTTTGGTTTTGATGGGATTATTATTAGGCTCTGTGTGGAGTAAGGAAACTTGCCCAAGGTTTCGCCCTCTGCCTGGAATTGAACTGAGGTCTCTCACTTGCAAAGCGAGTGCTGTAACCACTGAGCTACAGGACTCCACAAATAATTGGTTGCTCATTCCACGTTTGTTTATGGGACACTGCTGTGCATAATTGGCTGCCTCATTTTGCCCACAAAATAGTCAGTTCACTTTACAGTATATTCTGTGAAGCGCTTTGAAATGTCACAGAGACGTGCCCCCTGTGTGGGTCATGGGGCTGACACCTGAGTCCCATTTGATCTGATTGGGAATTGAGTAGGAGCCAGTGAGCTGCAGTCCATATAATGGGTGTCTTGGAGCCAGGGAAGAGCAGAGTGGGGAGGTTCACCTGGTTACTCCAGTGTTGGGACCTGTGTTACCTGTTTATTTTGCTTGTGTTATTGGAGGAATAAATGGGAGTGCCTGGCTTTCGTGTTCACCCCACAAGACTGGAACAACTTGCTGACAGGGTGAAATCCCTCTGTTCGCTGCGGTCCTCACAGCAAGGCACTACTTGTACCTGCCGGGCAGGAAGGCCTCACAATGGACAGGGTCCAGCTGGGATGAGATCGTATACACACACGCAGAGAGGTTGGCTAAACGGGTTTATCCCACTGTGAACAGAGGAGATTGTGAAGTGCTTTCGGACATCCTCCTAATGTGAACGACACTATACCAAATGTAAGTAATATTATTGAGACGAGATTTGATGGAGATCTTTTAAGATGCAAAAACAACTAGCGGGAAGGTGAGAAATTGTTTTATGCAGAGAGTTATGATTTGGAAAGGATGGTGGAAGCAGATTAAATAATACCTTTCAAAAGGGAATTGGATATATACTTAAAAAGAAAAAAATTGCAAGGCTTTGGGGAAAGAGCAGAAGAAATGGGCTGATAAGAAAGCTCTTTCAAAGGACCGGCACAGGCATGATGGGCCGAATGGCCTTCTCCTGTGCTGTAGAATTCTATGATTTCTATACTTGATTTGCGTGGGGTGGGGGAGGGGAAACAGTCTTGGGATTGAGAGCAGAAAAACACTGGTCTCAGAGGCACAGGCAAATGTATCTTTCTATCGCTCATCCTCGATGTAGCATCTCCATGGTCCTGACAGCCCAGCCTCTCATCTACATATCCTCAATGGCTGAGGTGCTTTTCTTAAGTTGCTTTTAACATCTGGAGGTTTCTTTATTTTGTGAACATCAAAATACTCCCTCGGTATGTTCTAAATAAGAACACTGTTGCGACTGAGCTGCTAAAATATACAGCACGAGGGTAATTAGTGTGTCTGCGCTTCCTGCAGCCTACACGTCTGCAACATAACTACTAAAAATAAGGTCAGTCAGTGATGGCGCTGATCCTTTTAGCATTAAGAAAGAGATTGCATTTTTTATGCTGAAACATGTCAAAGCGCCTCACAGGTAATTACTGTCAAATGATGTTGCTGTTTCTTTGTCGACAAATGTGGCAGCCAGTTCACAACATCAGGATCCCACACAACGTGAATGACCAAGTAATGTGTGTGGGAGGTGGAGGGTGGGGTTTGGATCATTTGTCGAGGCATCATAACATGATGTGCATCTGAACAGGCTGATGGGAGTCCTGTAGCTCAGTGGTTAGAGCACTCGCCTCGCAAGCGAGAGGACCCGTGTTCGATTCCCGGGCAGGGAGAAACATTGGGTAAGTTTCCTTACTGCACACGACTCGGTTTACCTAGCAATAAGTAGGAACTTGTTTGTCAGTTGATTGGTGGATTGCTTTCCGGGGGTAATCCTCAAAAAAAAGGGTCACTTAATCCACGACTGTTTTGTAGGACACTGCTGTGTGCAATTGGCTGCTGCATTTGACCTGCAAAATACAATCGATTCACTTTACAGTCTATTCAGTGAAGTGCTTTGACTCAACGTTGTGATAAGCGTGGTATCAAATGCAAGGATTATTATTATATGGGGAATTTGAACAACACAGTACTCCCCGTTATTCTACTGCGGATTTGGGTGAGACTGAAGGTCCTGACGTGGGTGAGGTTGGAACCCATAACTTTCAGACCCAGGCTGGGCCACTCAGCAGTAATGCGACGAGTATTTGATGGCTGTTATTTTCTGTTAAACAACATAAAATTAGAGTCATTCCCCAGAGACTGGGCGAATGGACTTTGATTTAGTTCCAGAATATTTTATGAATAATCCCAATTCTTGCCTGCTATAACAGAGCATCTGTTACCACAAAACAGCAGCTTTTCCCAAGACTGAAGACGTAAGACCGGCACACAGGAATCAGAATGTGTTTCTTCAACAAAACACACCCTTGAGCGAGAAAAGAGTTTTACATCCTTGGGGTTCTGGAGCGAATGAATCAGAACAGGAGATGGTGCAATTTAATGCAGGGAGGAAGGGGAGTGTGTGTTAGGATGGATGCGGGAGGGAAATTTGAAGCTTCAGGACAACAAAAAAAGGAAGATGGGGATGTAGAGACTATAATAATCCTGGCATTTGATACAGTGCCTTATCACATCTTCCAGACGCCTCAAAGCGCTTCACAGAATATAGAGTGACCAAATTATTTAGAATTTATTTTTTTTGAAGGGATTATTACCTCCAGAAACGCGATCCGTCAGTTGACTAACAACCGGGTTTGTACTTCTGCTAGGTAAACAGAGGCGTGTGGAGTAAGCCCGGGAACCCAGATTTGACTAGTGTGTGATGGGGAGAAACGCTGAACTTTGGAGGTGCTGGACATAGTCAGCAGGCGTTCGAGGAGAATGAGCAAGGGGCTGGGAGAGGCGCTTGGGTCCTGGAGCGATTGACTTGAGCTTTCAGGAGAGCTGAGGATTGTTGATGAATAAGCTGTATTTGGCAGATGCTCATCAGTTTAAGAAACACGCAGCACAAAAGGGAAATATGTTGCTGTTAAATGGAGTGGACGGAGATTGTCAGCAAGAAGCAGAGGATACTCCCGTGCCCAGGAGGTTTAGGATTTTTTTCTCTTATTCTCTGTTGGTTAGCCACCGAGTGAGTGACTGCCCAAACCAGGGGATTGGGATCATGTACTTGAAACTCCCTTTATGTTTTCTGTCTCGAACAAGATTATTTTTTTTCAGTCAGTTAAATGAAGAGTGTAAACGTTGCCGCTTCTGTAGCTCTGAAAGAAAATTTGACCTGAAGGTTTCTGAGCCCGGCTGCTGTGTTTGCTCTTTATCTCGGGCTGAACTCGCTCAGGGAAGAACAACGCTGTGGTGAGGGTACAGCAGTGATGCCCTTCAGGCCCGCTCTGCGATGCTTTGTCTCATCAATTCCCTCCCAATAATAGTCCAATTGCGAGCAATAATAATAATAATCCTTGCATTTGAAGTAGCGGCTTATCAAGTCGTTGAGACGTCTCAAAGCGCTTCACAGAATATCTGTAAAGTGAATTGACTATTTTGTGGGCGAAACACGGCAGCCAATTGTGCACAGCAGAGTCCCTCGAACAGTCGTGGATTGAATGACCACATTTTTTTTGATGGATTATTGCCCCAGGAAAATGATCCGCCAATTGATTAACAACCGGGTTCCTATTGACTGCTAAATAAACACAGGCATGTGGAGTAAGGAAACTTGCCCAAGGTTTCACCCAACCTTGTATAACACAAGCTAATTATTTTGTACATCATTTGATAACAGAAAAGAGTTCCCACCTCCACACATTTCAGATTCAGTGAACGTTTTTAATTCACATTGTCGACTTAATGGAACCTTTAAAGCAGAAATGTTTTTTTTATTCATAAACCCAGAATTATTGATGTCAAAATTAAATATGCAGTAACATCGTACTTTTTCACGGCAATATTTTTCAACTTTTTTTTAAATAGAATCTCTTGCTGTGGACAAAGAGAGAGAGATGGGGGGGATGTGAAATCAAGAGCTTTATCAAAGCTGTCAGCATTGTCATCCACCTGTAATGTGAGGAATTAAAATCTTGCACTCTCTACTCTAACCCCATTCCCTGGTCTGTGAAACATCCCGTTTTCCTCAGACTGTGTGTGTTGGTGCCCTGTCCTGGTCTGACTCTGCCTCACTGCCTGCATTAACGTTATTATTGCCGCTCAGGCCCCCGCAGTGTGTTGGAGATTACCCAGGCAATAACCTATCAGGATTAATGCAGATTACTGCTATGTCTCCAAGCCCTTATTGGGATAAGCCTGTGTGTTAGCCTGGCACACTGGCCGCTCTCTCGCCTCTGAGTCAGAAGGTTGGAGTGCCACATCAGGACTTGAACTCACATAGTCTGAGATGACGCTCCAATACAGTGATGGGGTGAATTGCATTGTCGGAGCTGCTGTCCTTTGGATGAGATTTTAAACCGAGGTCCAGTCTTTCCTGTTTAGGTGGATGTTAAAGATCCCATGACACTGTTCAAAAAGAGAAAGGAGTTTCTCTCCCCCGGGTCCTGGCCGACAACAATCCCCCAGATAAATAAAATTGATCACTCACTGTGCGGCTGTTTGTGGGAAACTGCTGTGTGCAAATTGGTTGCCGCATTCAATTATAAATACCCAATCACTGCACTTCATGCCTATTGTGAAGGGACTCAAACAGTACAGCCCCCACCACCACCACCCTGCCCTTGGTCCCCTCTTCTTCAATCTATACAGTGCTTCCGCTCAGTGATGTCATCCGCGGGCACGGGGTCAATTCCACATGTACGCGGATGACACCGAACTCTATCTGGCTACCTCCACCCTCGACTCCAGGACCGTTGATGTCCTGGGTAATTGTCTGTCTGACATCAAGTCCTGGATGAGAGCCAACTTCCTCCAGCTCAATGTTGGCAAGACCAAGGCCCTCCTGCTTGGCTCCTGGCAGTGCCTCCACATCTCAGCCGTTGACATTATCACCATTCACGTCTGCGCTCTTCACCTCACTGAGCCAATCTGAAATCTCAGTGTGCTTTTCGACCCTCAGCTATCCTTCAAACCCCACATTCGTACCATGACCCGTTCCGCCATTCCCCACCTCCGCCTCTCACCTCAGAACGCCAAGACCCTGATCCACGCTTTCATCACGTCCCGGCTTTACTACACCAACCGCCTGCTCACTGAACTTACCAACTCTTCCCTCCACAAGCTGCAGATTAGTCAAACTCTGCAGCTTGTGACCTCTCCCGCACCAGGCTCCACCAACCAATCGCCCGCACTCTTGCCTGGCTTTGCTGGATCGCCATCCAGCAGAGAATCGAGTACAATACCCCCCTACCTCTCCGAACTCCTAACCCCAAATCCGCCTGCCCACTCCCTCCGCTCAACAGACACCAACTGCTTCAGGGCCCCCACACTACTCACCCCACCGAGAGTGGTTGGGTATTCAGCACCTCTGCCCACACACTATCCCGCGATCCCTCTGCCTCGCCCCCTCTCTTGCCTCTTTCAAATCTTGTCTAAAGATCTCCCTCTTCGACCGTGCCTTCGGCCACCCCCGCCCCTCCACAAACCCCCCGCCCCGCCTGACCAACTCCCAGCTCAGGTCCAAAAAATCCTGACTGTCCAGCGCCCTGGGACGTCTTTCCGACGTGAAGGGCGCTTGCTTTACAAGTGTCATTTGTTGTTGCGAGCGTCATCCTCTGGCTGTGAGCTACACCTGATTATTGTAGTCCTGTGATCAGACATTAATCCGAGTTCCCGTCTGCCTGCTCAGGTGGTTCAAGTAAAGATTCCGCAGCAATGTTCGGAAAGAGAAGGTAGTCTCTCTCCCGTGTCCCGGCCAACAATCCTCCAAATAAAACGGACTCACAGGCTGCTCCACGCTGACATCCCTCGGGCAGCTGCCTGTACTGCAGCACTCCGAGGAAGCAATCAATTATTGATCAATGCGTTGGGCGACAGACAGGCAGCTGCTTACACTGGAACCGTCTCTGAGCAGACGCTACCGCTCAGCCCAGCCTGATGTTTGATCCTCTCCTCCCTTGGGAACACGTCTCTGTTTTCCAGGGAGGGCTTAAACACGGGCTTGTTTACCAGGGAGCGAGAGTTTAAACACAGGCTGGTGCAGTTTTATGAAGGAGACGGCAACAGCAACGTTGCCACAAACAGTCATGAAGTGAGGGAGTGATTTTTCTGTGGAGGAATGTAAGCCAGCACACTGGGAGAGAGAAACTCCCTTGTCTTTTCAAAAGCGCCGTGGGAGATCTTTAATGTCCATCTGATCAGGAGACAGATGGGGCCTTGGTTTTAACATCTCAACTGAAGGTCGGGTGGGAAAGTGTGATTTATAAAAATAAGTGACTTAGAGAACACACAAGTAGCAGTGACAGCGACACAAGGAATGGAGTATCTGCACTGAATCGCTCCCATTTCAACGAGTGTGACTCTCGGTCTGTCCCCCTCTAGCTCTGTCGCTCTCCCTGTTCCACTCGCTCTATTCCCGGTACATTTCCCGGCTCTCCTCCACACTGGGAATGGATGGTCGGGGGAGGGAGGCATTTCCCAAACTAGGTCATCACTCTACACATCTTAAGGGACTGTCTGTAAATTGCCACCTTGTCCCACAAGAGTACAAACAGCGTGGCATCGCTTAACTCTCTTCCCTCCAAAACCCATCCTGTAAAACACCGGATACAACAATGTACAGATTGTGTATAATGACATGTATATGGAGTGCGGGCTGCGTTCCTGCGTTGCATTCTGCGTTCACGAAAATGTTTGTAGTTCTGGACGGCCCCCGAGCTACATGAAGCTGTAACACTTGCACATAGAATGAAAGCTGCTGTAGTTTCATTTATAATCAGAAACCAACTGTACTGATCCACAACTCGGTCACTCATTTAAATACCCCCTCTCTCTCTCATAACGAAATGCGACTCACGTTAATGTCAGCCTAGCAACCCCGATCGTTACAACTCAGATTTTGTCCGAGGAAATAGCTGGCTCCCCACGCCAGACAGTTTCACTCACTCCAAGACACTGTTTTGTGTGAAGGGCACGCTGTAAATGCAAGTTGTTGTTGTTGTAGATGGGGTGGGAGGGGAATTACTTTCACTGCTTCAAAGGCAACTCGTTGGCTGTGAGGAGGTCTGTGGCGGTCTGGGAGTTGCTGAGGGTAAAGAGGCTGATGCCGGATTGGTAGGCAGCAGGGATGGTTACCCATGGGGTCAAGGCCACATCCCCCAGGGACATCTCGTAGATCATCTGCTTGACCTGGCCTGGGGGGTGGGGAGAGAGACAGTGAGAGGGGGGCTTCACCGTTTGTACCTGGGTGGGGGGAAAACGAGTGAGTCCAGCCCAGAGCCACATCCAACCAGGGGGCGGGAGCACTGGGCACCACATCCCTCTCACCTCAGCAAGACACCAAGTGGGAGACAGACCCCAGCCCCAATCTCAGCCCCCAACCTCAGCCCCAGCCCAACCTCAGCCCAACCCCAATCTCAGCCCCAGCCCCAACCCAACTCCAGCCCCAATCTCAGCCCCAATCCCAACCCTGCCCCCAATCTCAGCTCCAGCCCCAATCCCAGCCCCAATCTCAGCCCCGTCCCCTCACCTGCCACGTTGAGCACCTTCCAGCGCTGGTCGTGGTTGAGGTGTGACAGCTCCGTGCCCCCCGTCAGCCGGGTCAGGATGTCCTCCCGTCGCACCAGCAGCACCGACTCACTGCACAGCCTCCGCCTCACCAGCTCACTCTCCTCTACCAGCAACACAGAACCCACACATCACCCTCACACACAGTCCACACCTCACCCTCACCCGCACAGCCCACACCTCACCCTCACCCACACAGCCCACACCTCACCCTCACCCACACAGTCCACACCTCACCCTCACCCACACAGCCCACACCTCACCCTCACCGCCCACACCTCACCTTCACACACACAGCCCACACCTTACTAACACCTCACCACCTGTGCCATGACCAAACCAACCAGCCCCAACACCAACCCCAGCCCTGAGAGACGAGGGCAGCCCCAGGGCTCCCAGTGCCGATCTCGTACCCACTTGGATGGGGTTGGTCAGGTAGATGCCGGCTGTGTCCACCCCGAAGATCATCTGGTGATGCCAGGCGTCCGGCACCTCCTCCCCCTCGGGCGGGGCTACCTGCAGGTTCATGGTGGCCACGGGCACGGCTCCACGGCGGATCCAGCCGGCCAGCCACGACCTCAGCCTGACCTCCCGCACCGGGTAAAGCGGGAAGAAGCGGCCGATCACTCTGCCCTCGGTGGCTTCACTCACTCCTGTCAGCAGCTGCTGGTGTGTGGCTCCTGGGGGGAGGGAGGGCAAAGGTCAGAATGCAGGGTTCAGACCTGCCGATTATGGGGCAACATGACAACAATCCTCTCTTTTGATACAGCGCCTTATCATGTCTCAAGACGCCTCAAAGAGCTTCACAGAATATACTGTAATATGCAGTGACCGTTTAAATTGTGGGCGAAATGCGACAGACAATTGTGCACAGCAGTGAGCGTCCCACAAACAGCCGTGGGTTGAGTGACTGCATTTTTTTTATTTGAAGGGATTATTAAGCCCAAAAATGTAATCCGTCAATTGACTAACAACCAGGTTCCTACTCACTGCTGGTAAAGAGAGATGTGTGTGTGGGGTGAGGAAACTTGTCCAACGTTTTGCCCTGACCCGGGAATCAAACCCAGGTCCTCTCGCTTGCGAGATGAGTGCTCTAACTATTGAGCTACTTACCTGCCCTCTCCCCATATCCCCTAATCCCCCTTTTTTAAAAATCTATCAGTCTCAGCCTTGAAGATGTTCAAGGACTGACATCTACAGCCTTCTGGAGGAGTGAATTCCATAAGTTCACTACCCTCTGAGTGAAGAAATGTTTCCTCAACTCTGTTCTAAAAGGCTGACCCTTAATTTTCAGACTGTGACCCCTGGTTATAGGTTATAGATTCTCCTCCCGGGGAAACAGTCCCTCAGTGTCTACTTTATCAGCCCTTTAAGAATCTTATATGTTTCAATAAGATCCCCCCTAATTCTTCTGTACTCTAGAGAATACAGCCCCAGTTTATTCAGCCTATCCTCATAGGTCAGTCCCCTCATCCCAGGCACTAACCGAGTGAATCTACGCTGCAGCCCTCTATGTCCTTTTTTAAATAAGGACCAAAACTGCACACAATACTCCAGGTGCGGTCTCACCAAGTCAGCAAGACTTCCCTACTCTTGTACTCTAAACCTTTTGCAATGAACGCTAACTGCCGTTCGCCTTCTTAGTTGCTGCTGCACCTGCAAACTAACTTTTTGAGACTGGTGTACAAGGACACCCAAATCCCTCTGAACACTAACACTATCTAATCTCTCCCCCTCTAGAAAAGAATCTGTTTTTCTATTTTTTCTACCCAGGTTTAGCTGGTTAGACTCCGGCAGTTACCCCAACGCACAATCTGGGTTCCCCCCAAGCCTTGACTCTGGCCAACCTGCACCTAATACTTCCTGGAATTAGGGTGGGAATGGGGCACTAGGCGGGGCTGGGAGCAGGGCAGTGGGAGGGGCAGGGCTGGTTGGGGCGGGACTGGGTGTGGAGCACTGGTCAGGGCTGGGGGGGGGTCTGGTTGGGGCGGGCACTGGGCGGGGCCAGCCCAGCAGTCCCTCACCGGCCACGCTGCGGGACAGCAGGTAGTCGGGCAGGTGGGCCTGGTTCCTGCGCTGGTTGGTGCGGACGCAGGCCTCCACAGCTCCGGGCGGAACCTCCACACCCAGTGCCCGCAGTACAGTGATGATCGCGGTCGCTCCACAGGACGAGGCTCCTGTCTGAACCTCCTCCAGCATCTCCGCCTCTTCCAGGCTCCAGATCATTGCTGGCACAACGGCTCCTTCATCATCATCACCAGGACAATCCTCCTCCTCCTCTGGGGGCAGAGCCGGCCTTGCCCTACCCCCCATGTCAAGGACCCGACTGTCCAGCCTGGTCGGCACGGCCACCACAACCCGGCTTCCCCAACACCGGAAACGTCAGCTTTCCCAGGAAGGAAAGAGAGAGAGGTTGGTCACTGGAGGTTAGTGTAACATTAATAATAATCATAGAATCATAGAATGGTACAGCACAAAAAGAGACAATTCGGCCCATCGGGTTTGTGCGGCTCTTTGAATAGAACAGTTAATGTCAGTCCCACTCCCCAGTCCTTTCCCCATAACCCGCAAACCCGTCCTCCTCAAATACCCGTCCACCGCGTTTTTAAAAGTAGTTATCGAATCGGTCTCCACCGCCCTCTCAGGCGATGCGTTCCAGATTCGAACAACTCGCTACATGAAAACATTTCTTCTCACTCCCCGTCGGCTTTTAGAGACTATTTTAAATCTGTGACCTCGAGTCACCGACACACACACCAGTGGGGACAGTTTTTCCCTTTCTAACCTATCAAATCCCCTCATGATTTTGAAGACCTCTATTAGGTCTCCTCGTAACCTTCTCTGCTCCAATGAGAATAATCCTCACCTCTCTCGCCTTTCCTCATCATCACGGTCCCTCATTCCTGGTACCATCCTCGTAAATCTCCTCCTTTCCAATACCTTAACATCCTTCCTATAGTGCGGTGCCCAGAACTGGGCGCAGTATTCTAACTGAGGCCTAATTAGTGTTTATATAGGTTAAACATAAACTCCCGACTCTTGTACTCTGTGCCCCTATTTATAAAGCCAAGTATCCCATATGCCCTTTTTACAGCTTTATCTCCCTGTCCTGCCACCTTCAAGGATTCAGTCACCTGAAAGCCCAGGTCTCTGTTCTTTTATTATCATTAATAATAATCCTTATATTTGATTTAGCGCCTTATCACACGGTTGTGATGTCTCTAAGCGTTTCACAGAATATACTGTAAAGTGTAGTGACTGCTTTGTGGGTGAAACACGGCAGCCAATTGTGCACAGCAGTGACCCCACAAACAGTTGTGGATTGAGTGACAAAATTTTTTTTGAAGGGATTATTAGACCTGGAAAGCGATCCCCCAATTTGAATAACAACCAGGGTCCTACTTGCCGCTAGGTAAATAGAGGCATGTGGCATAAGCAAATCTGCCCAACGTTTCACCCTGCCTGGGAATCGAACCCAGGTCCTCTCGCTTGTGAGGTGAATGCTCTAACCACTGAGCTACGTTCCCAGTGACCAGCAGCAGGAGGTGGGTTTGTGTGTGGTCTAAACACCGGTACGGACTAGTTGGGGCTCACAGGCTTGTTTCATGTGCTACTGATTGTATGTCTGTGTGTATATGTAAGTTATTGTTTGCTGTTTAAAGACGTGTCTCTCCATCGCGGTCAGTAAGGCTGTGAGATGTCAGTAGTTGGAGGCAGATTAGAAGAGTGAGAGAGTTTTGTTTTATTATTGGTGAGTGCGGTTAGGCCTGCTCACCCCCATTAGCCAAGTTGGATTGAAACACGTTCCACTAGGGAGTATGTCAATCAGCCCCTCCTGCCTGTTCCGCCGTTCTATATGATCATGGCTGATCTGTTCCTCAACTACATTTGCCCACTGTTGCCCTGGATCCAACTCAGGTGACAGGATGGCCTCTCCGTCAGGGCAAACCCGGCCTGACCCTAGTGCCAGGTGCTCACTGTGCCCTACATTCCAGTGTCTCCCCTTCCTCTGTGTGACGGCAGATCACTACGCTCTCTCTCTCTCTTTCCCTGAAGGGACGCACCGTACTTACCTAATTCCGGACAGTATGAGGCGCAGGTTGGCAAGAGCCAAGGCTTATGGACCCCAGAGTGTGCGTTGGGGAAACTGCCGGAGTGTAAGCAGCTAAACCACGTAGTTTGCCGTTGAGAGGCAGCGCTGTGTGGCAGCTTTCCCGCCGCTGGTCCAGCGAGGGCCACCCTCCCCGTTAGTGAGGGTGTGGGCTGCAGGGCTACCAGGGGCTGAGGGGGAGGATTCGGCCCCTCCAGGACCTGCTGATGGGCCGGGCCGGGCCGGGCAGTGCTGTCTGTGTGAGGGCAGATCACACTCTCCCTCTCACACTTTGTCTCTCTCTCTCCCTCTCACACTCTGCAATACTGATCCCAACCAACAAAGGGCAGAAGCTGCAGCTGTGCTCAGAGCTCAATCCTTCCCATGACAGCAAACATGGCTGAGGTTGGGCTGTGATCAGGTCCTCAGGACAATCTCAGGACAATCTCAGGACAATCAGGAGAGAGTCTCTGCCTCCGCTCAGCCCAACACAGACAAAAAGGGGAGCGTTGTATCCCAGTCCCAGACCCTCCCCCACAGCCTCAGCCTCTGACCACACTGACCAACACCACTCTCCCTCTCCCTCTCCCTCTCACACTCTGTCTCTCTCTCTCACACTCCGTCTCTCTCTCACACTCTGTCTCTCTCTCTCTCTCACTCCCTCTCTCTCTCTCTCTCTCACACTCTCTCTCTCTCTCACACTCTGTCTCTCTCTCTCTCTCACTCCCTCTCTCTCTCTCTCACACTTCCCGCACTCGGGAATTCTGCATTAATTCTGGTTTTATATATAAAGTTAAATCCTCCGGTGAGAGCGGCTGTCGGTACCTCTGTGTCCGGCGGCGCTGATCTCTCCCGTGAAGCGCTTTGAGACGACTTTGCTTCCGGCCTTATAGCCCCGCCCCCAGTGACGCTCCCCAGTGGCCCCTCCCCCAGTGACCCCTCCCCCAGTGACCCCTCCCCCAGTGGCCCTCCCCCAGTGACCCTTCCCCCAGTGGCCCTCCCCCGGTGGCCCCTCCCCCGGTGGCCCCTCCCCGGTGGCCCCTCCCCCGGTGACCCCTCCCCCGGTGACCCCTCCCCCGGTGACCCTCCCCAGTGGCCCCTCCCCCGGTGGCCCCTCCCCCAGTGACCCCGCCCCAGTGACCCTCCCCGGTGACCCCTCCCCCGGTGGCCCCTCCCCCGGTGACCCCTCCCCCGGTGACCCCGCCCCCGCGGCCCCGCCCCCAGTGGCCCCGGGTGCTGTCTGTCTGACCAGGCGGACGCTATAGATCCCACAGCGCAAACCGAAAAGAGAAGGGAGTTTCTCTCTCTCTCTCTCTCCTGATGTCCAACAATCCCCCGACGTTGGCCGACGATCCCCCGACACTTGTCACTCACTTCACTCCACGGCTGTTTGTGGGGACGTCGCTGTGCTCAATTAGCTGCCGCGTTTTCGCCCACAAAATACACAGTCACTACACTTTACAGTGTGTCCTGTGAAGCGCTTTGCGACGTCTCAGTGATGTGATGAGGCGCCGGGTCAAATGCCGGGATTATTATTATTTATTATTCAATTAAAAAGGAAAGGGCTGAACTGATGGTGTAAAGCCCTGTGTGTAGTATTGAGAGTGGCCGCGGGGGGCACCAGTCGCCCAGTCCCACATTGTGGATAAACACTTCATTTCTCTGATTTGACATCAACTGAGAGATTAAAATGACAAATCAACTGATTATAATCACAATCAGTTTACCTCAGAGATGGTTTACAGTCTGATCTCTCCAGCTTTACCGCTGAGCCAGGTTTGCATGTTTGCTCCGTGACACTACTCCGTGTGAAGGGTACCGTGTGAATGCAACTTGTTGCTGACAGAACGGTTTATTCTCCTGCCCAGATATCGAACCCAGAACCTCTTGTTTGCAAATGCTCCAACAGGTTGACATAAATTTAAGTCCCTTGAGATTCAGGAAACCGTAAAAGGATTCTCACCCCCAAAATCCAACTCCCTTCTCGGCCCTGTTCAGGTGGACATCAACAATTCCCTGACAATTCCACTGCATCTCCATAAACGGCTTCTCCTCTAGCCGCCATACCATCTTGTGCTGCGTTCCTCAGGGCTCTGTCCTTGGTCCCCTCCTCTTCAATATCTATATGCTTCCTCTTAGTGACATCATCTGCAGACATGGGGTCAACTGGCACATGTATGCGGATGATCCCCAACTCTATCTCTCTGTCTCCACCCTCGACTCTAGGACCACTGCTGTCCTGATAGAATGTCTGTCGGACATCAAATCCTCTCAGGCACTGACAGCATCACCATCCGTGGATGCACACTGCACCTCCTCGAGCCAGTCCGGAACCTTGCCGTCTTGTTTGACCCTCAACTGTTTTTTCTACCCCACGACTGTGCCATGACACACTCTGCCTTCCCCAACCTCCGCAACATTCACCCGGCTCCGCCATTGCCTCAGCCCTCAGGCTGCCGAAACCCTCATCCACGCATTCATTACATCTAGACTTGACTATGCCAACTCCTTGCTTGTCGACTTTCCCAACTCTGCCCTCCACAAGCTGCAGATCTTGCAGAACTCTGCAGCTCGTGTCCTCTCCTGCATCAGGCTCTGTGACCCCATCACCCCCACCCTTACCCGGCTCCACTGGCTCCCCATCCCCCAGAGTTCAAAATCATCATCCTCGCCTTCAAGGCCCTCCACAGCTTTGCTCCTTCCTATCCCTGTGACCTGCTGACCCCATATCAACCTGTCCGTCCCTCCGCTCAGTAGGCTGTGACCTGGTCCACGTCCCCTGCACGGCCGCCCCACCATCAGCAGTCGGGCCTTCAGCCTCTCTACCCCCACCCTTTGGAATCCATCCCATATTCCCTTTGCCTCGCTTCCTCTCAAGGTGCATCTCAAAACCCTTCTCTTCGACCAAGCCTTTGGCTACCCTCCCTGCCCTCCACCCTCCCCGATCCCGACCCCCAGCTTGGGTCCAAATCCCTGACTGTTCAGCACCTTGGGATGTCCTCCTCATGTGAAAGGCGCTGTGTAAATGTGATGTGTAAATGTCATTGTATTTGATATAGTGCCATTCACACGGAGCACTTCCTGTGGCGCTATTTGATAAGAGAAGGGGAATTTTTCTCTCCCTCCTGTTGTGCTGGCCAACAATCCCCCAACAATTGCTCATTCATCTTATTGCTATGTGTTGGGGGGGGAGACATTGCTATGTGCAAATTGGCTGCTGCATTTGCCCACAAAATAAACAGGATAGATACCCTGTGAAGTGCTTTTCAAATAGTATCATTTTAACAAAAGCAGTGTATCAATTGTAAAGGTTTCTTGTTGCTTTTTATCATAATAATAATCCTTGCATTTGATATAGCGCCTTATCACATCTTCCAGACGTCTCAAGGCACTTCACAAAATATACTGTAAAGGGTGTTAACTGTATATTTTATGGGGGAGACGTACTTCTTTTTGGCCAATCTGGACTCTGTGGTGCAAATAATGGGATTAGAGGACATTTGACTTGGGCCCCACTGAGCTCAGTGAATGTGAGGGATACTAAATGACTAATGTAGTTATATTTCCATTGTAATTTATTACTCTAACACTTCATTACAGTTATTTACAGATGCAGAGTGACATGGCTGTACATATTAACCCCAAGCATTCCCATTCTTTGGACACATTCAGAAAACAGCAAGAAAAATGCTCACTCATAAGGTTTACTGTGTCTCTAACCCTGACCTGGGAGTGTGGACACACAGTGTAGAGGGAGCGTTACTGTGTCTCTAACCCTGACCTGGGAGTGTGGACACACAGTGTAGAGGAGCTTTACTGTGTCTCTAACCCTGACCTGGGAGTGTGGACACACAGTGTAGAGGAGCTTTGCTGTGTCTCTAACCCTGACCTGGGAGTGTGGGCGCACAGTGTAGAGGGAGCGTTACTGTGTCTCTAACCCTGACCTGGGAGTGTGGACACACAGTGTAGAGGAGCTTTACTGTGTCTCTAACCCTGACCTGGGAGTGTGGACACACAGTGTAGAGGGAGCGTTACTGTGTCTCTAACCCTGACCTGGGAGTGTGGACACACAGTGTAGAGGAGCTTTACTGTGTCTCTAACCCTGACCTGGGAGTGTGCACGCACAGTGTAGAGAGAGCTTTACTCTAACCCAGGAGAGCACCTCAAAATACTTTTTATGTGAAGGGGAGGATGAGGGGTAGGGAGGGGGCAAAAGGGAGGGAGAGGGGAGCAAGGGGGCGAAAGTTGAGTATGAGGGGGACAGAAAGTACAGTCAAAGAGTCTGATTGTGAGAGGGATTTGAAGGGCAGGAAGATATTGTGACACCTGGCTGACTTTCCCATTGTGTTCATGCCAGAGGGGAATTGTGTAAGGGGGTGAGGAGGCCAAGGTTGTTGCTGTTGTAAAACAAATAATTGTCAATTAATTTCCCCTTTTGTGACTTTTACTCAAGAGAGAGCTTATTCCTCCCAGCAGCTTGGCTGGTGGCCAACGGCCTAGCCCACACGCTCTGGCTCCATTAGCAAACAGTATACTTTTGAACCAGACTTGGCAGCGAAGCTGGGATGTGAAACGCGCCTCAGTGAGATTAGGACTTGAAGCAGAATAGCCTCATTCCAGTAAAGTGTGTTCAGCCCTCACCCTCGCCTGCTTATGAAAAGACCCGCTAACACGCTAACAACATGTTTTGCCTTGTCTCTTTGCCAACCTACGCCTAATACTTTCCGGAATTAGGTAAGCAGGATACGTCGCTCCAGGGAAGAGAGAGAGAGTGCACATTCCATTCCAACAATCTATCTCTGCGATTTCCATATGTAGGTGGGACGCCTGGAATTCCAGTTTGTTTGGGGACGCGTTAAGCACAATGATGGGTTTCTGTGTGTGTCAGACACTGGGCTGGGCAAAAAATAAAAAAGGTTTGCCTATTATTTTATTCTTACATTCTTTTTTCCCATTTGCTCATTTGGATCCAGGCTGTTGGGAACTGGAACAATAATCCTCACATTTGCTGGAGCGTCTCTCTCAGAGCCTTTTAAAGGTAACTGCTGCCGTCTGTAGTGTGATCAACACCAGGGGTAAAACCTGAACCAAAAGACTGTAAAGAGCCAGTTCCACGTATATAATAATAATAAATAAACTGGAAATATCCATGTGCAATTAAGGCATGCAGCCGCTTCCCGGCTGGGGTCAGAGGACAGGCTCATGATTATATCACTTCTTCTCACTTGCAGACATTAATAAAGCGAGTGAAACACACCAAACACTGTCACTACACTTGACAGTTGGCCCCTGGGAAGCGCTTTGAGACCTTGAGGTTGAAGGTATTGTTATCAAATACTACTAATAATAATCTTTGCATTTGACATAGTGCCTTATCACGTCTTCGAGACGTCTCAAAGCACTTCACAGAATATACTGCAAAGAGAATTAACTGTTGGCGAAACACGGCAGACAATTGGGAATAGCAGTGTCCCACAAACAGTCGTGGGTTGAGTGACCTCATTATTATTACTACTTGAAGGGATTCTTACACCCAAAAAAGCAATCCATTGGGGGGAGGGGTGGGGGTGGGGAGGTGTGTGTGTTTGTGGGGGGGGTGGGGGAGGTGTGTGGGGCGGGGTGGGGGAGGTGTGTGGGGGTGGTGGGGGAGGTGTGGGGTGTGTGGGGAGGTGGGGGGGGGGTGTGTATGGGGGAGGTGTGTGTGTGATGGGGGGGGTGTGTGGGTGTGTGTGTGAGGGAGGGTGTGTGGGGGTGGAGGTGTGGGGGTGTGGGAGGTGTGGCGGGTCGGGGGAGGTATGTGTGTGGGGGTGTGTGGGAGCTGTGGGGGGGTGTGGACGGGGGTGGGGGAGGTGTGTGTGAGGGGGGGGTGTGGGGGAGGTGTGTGTGATTGTGGGGGGT